CTGGTAGGAACTCCTGGTAGATATATGTAGCCATGGTCCCTAGCAAAGGGGACAAGCAAAATGACTGATGTGGAGGCAGCCATATCAGAAGAATTAGTGAAATGAGCGTCTTTTGGAGGGAGTGCTGTAGAAATGTGTGGAGTGTGCAAATCCTTTCCAATCTTGGAAGGTAGGATCGCATGGCTGAGCACTACAAGCGAGTGTGGGAATGGTTTCGGTGTCTGCAGAATTGGTGGAGATACGTTGAAAACTGGAATGCCATACATGGGCGCTTAAGAATGTTATTGGCGCTTAACCTGCCTCCTCCTTTTTCTTTGGCATTGACAACCTGTTCTTGTGCAAGGGATGACTGCTGACATTGCTGGCTGTCCTTCTTCGCATGAGGGCTATGGTCTTCACCTCCATTCATCAGCTACATCCATGTCCACCTCACCAAACACCTTTGGTGTGTGACAGTGAGCACAGGCTCTAGGGAGGCGATCTATTAAAGCCTAATGGCTGCCTGTAGAGCAGTGTATTTGATTAAGGGTGGAGGGGTGCTTCTCAATTTTGTTACTTGTTTGTTATACAAGTTGAGGAGCAGGAAAGAGGCAAGTCAGTCTTTACACATAGGGAGACCAATGAGCCTTTGTTTTGTGTGAGACAGTTTGTTGAAGTTCAGAAACCAGGGATGAGTAGACTTTCGCAAAGAGGTTGATGAGTCCCAAAAGCTGCAGTAGAGTTTTTCAATTTTGTTATGCCCGAGCACAGTGACTTCTTCAAATGGAATAGGCACAAAGTGTGTGAGGTGGGAGTCTACGGGCTGAACTTATCATAACCCCTATGGCTGAGTTATCACAAAGATCCAACAGAGGTTCTGTCTACTGGCGAGTCCCTAAGGTTGTTTGCATGGAGAGAGAACAAGGATCGAAGTGAAGGGATGAAGCTCAGTTGCAAGCTATCGAAAAACTGCCAATACAGGACAGAGTACATAGGATTATATACACCTAAGTACGAGTACCATACCAGTCGCGACAGACACGTCATGACACATATCCACAGCAATCAACAAAACCATCAGCCCAATAAACAGGAGTCATACGGTGTCAACAATGGGAGACATCAAGGAAACGAAGGCTATACTGGCTGCACAATCAATGCGCAGCAAGGAGCCAGACACCAGGAGCTATAGTACAATGATGAAGCAATATAAATGAGTCAGAAAGGAGTCACCAGAGCAAGGAAGAAACAAGTCGTCCATCAGAGAGGGCAGTGGGATACCAGATCACAATGGCCCCCCCAACTCTGGCAGGTATTGGAAATACACTGACAGCAGGGGATCTGATTGTTCCCTGGAGCATTCAAGCCCCTAGGACAGCGACTACTATTAAGGACGCAATGAGGCATGTGACACATGTGACCACAAGGAATTGAAAAAGGTAAGACCCCTGACAGAAGTGTAACAGTCTCCCCCTCACATGCTTTGTGCCTATTCCATTTGAAGAAGTCACTGCACTCAGGCATAGCAATGTCCCTAATAACTGTCATTGTTATGGGTGTGTCCATGCTCAACCAACAGGTTGGATCTCCAGTGGTCACAGTATTTCCAATGCCCTCTGATGCTGCACACCTGTAGGTGATCCAGTGTTCCACCCCCATCTCTGATGAATGGACAATTTCATGTTTCACCTCTGACTCATATTTATTGTTCTGATTGTTTACTTCTTGCTCTGGTGTCAGGCTCCTCACTGCACATTGATTGTGCAACCAGTATAACCATTGTTCCCTATGCTACCCCCATCATATGACACTGTATGACTCCTTTCTATTTCATTGTTTACTGCTGTGGATACTTACCATCACCTCAGCATGACTTGTATGGTACTCTTGTCCTGAGGTATATATACAGCCATACCATACTCTGTATCCTCAGTTTTTTGATAGCTTGCAACTCAGCTTCATCCCTTTGCTTTTGTCCTTGTTCTCTCCCCATTGTGATCTCAGAAGAACTCACCAGTGGAGCAAACCTCTGTCAGACTTTTGCAATAACTGAGCCATAGGGGTTATGATAAGTTTGGCCTGTAGTCTCCCCCTCACACCACTCATGACTAGTCCATTTGACAAAGTCACTTGGCTCAGGCATAACAAATTTAAGCAAATCCAACCAATGATTGGTCAGATCCCATAGATCTTCAAGGATAATCCCCTCCAAAACAATAGATGTATATAGCTATGGTATGGATATTATAAACTGACAGATTTTTTTATAGATCTCAAGTCAAACATTGGTTTGAAATGAAAAGATATGAGTATGAATGTGATGTCAGTACCATAGATAGCAATCACATTATGGTGCACTTCAGGTGCCACTTTGGAAGTGATCAGGCCTTCAGACCAAAACTGCATCAGAGTAACTTGTGGAGTGCAGGCTTGGGAGAGATGCCATCTGTGACAGTTCATGACAAAACTTTGCAACTCTGGTTAAATGATAGTAGTTGCAAATGCACTGTGCCAGTGTGCAGCTGCAAGCGTGACAAGCTTTTGCAAATTACCATCTTTTTTGATATTTATTTCCTGGACACTTTTCCTCTCACCACATAAATCGTAAAACTTAGCTAGCAGCCAGAGGACATCTGTAGCTACCACTTTATTAGTTCTCAGAATCCCTAGTGATGTGGTGTGTGTGTGTGGCAAGTGGATTGGGGGTGATTTTATAGATTGGGTGGAATGATAATATAGTTTTGGCCAAAAAACAGTGGCCCAAAACCGGTTTTACGTTGTCATTCCTAGTCGTTATAGTTTTGAAGTTTCTCACACCTTGGTCTAGTCTCCGATTCCTTTAGTGAGTGTGCACCCCAGCAAACCAAAGGTCTTTTACGCCGGCAGTTGTTTGAAGATAGATGGATACTATGTAAGGGCTGCGTAATATAATGTGGCAGTAAGCTCGCGAACGTGTGCGGGAAGCAGCCACTCATTGATCGCGCCGAGGAAACTACTAACGTGAGAAGGACCCCCAATGAAATCTGAACATGAATCAAAGAAAACGCGTATAGCGGCGTCCCCAGGGCCGAGTAAACAATGTCAATTGGACGCACCCGAGACGGTGGTCGTAACAGGGCAGACAGTACCGGTGATTTGACAGTGCCATAGTCAGTCGCAAATAAGTAAAGGACTCGAGGCTCGCAAAGAAAACGAACGCAACCGTACCTACTTTTGAGCATCAATAGACGCAAAGGTAAAACGGCCACCCTATACTCTTCGTTGATCTACATACCTCGAATCTCAGTTTCAACTCTACCGTCTGAACAGTAAACTTTCCCAATATGTGACCAAGCGCCTCTCCGACGTCGACAGCGATGCAGCGGCTGGCCAAGGACGGGCGTTCTTGTTTCACCAATATGATCTAATCTGGTGGCTGTGTTCGGCTTCAGCCGAACGCGGCACTATCGCACTGCGTGTCCTCAGTTAGAAGGTACACCGTCGAGCTCATTAGGTCGAGGAAGTGCTCAAGATCACCACCTCCCAGTAAATAGTTATGGTGGGTACGGATCCTTGCCGGGTTGGATACCTATAGCGAAGGAATTGTCGATGGATGCGATGGAATGGGGCTGGATGGGTTCCTGTCAGTTGAGATGCACTTGAAACCTATGCTCACTCTTCCGTAGGATCCCTCAGCGCCAATAACTCTCCGCACGCGCAAATTCATCACCAACCGCCTGTTGTCGCGGCGTCAGTTCATCTTGGACGTCCTCCATCCCTCTCGCCCAAACGTGTCCAAGGATGAACTTGCCGAAAAACTTGCTACCATGTATAAGACGGACAAATCACGCGTCGTTCTTTTCGGATTCCGTACGCAGTTTGGTGGTGGCAAGAGCACTGGATTCGCCCTTGTCTATGATGATGAGGCATCCCAGAAGAAGTTCGAGCCAAAGTACCGTTTGATTCGGGTGTGTGCCTCACCTCTTGGGCTCACGAAGTTCACTAAATTACTTCAATGTTTCAGAGTGGCCTCCAGCCTAAGGTTGACAAGGCGTCTCGTAAACTACGACACGAAAGAAAAAACCGTGCGAAGAAGGTCAGTTTATTTCTAACATCTGCAGCGATTGACTCTAAGACATATCCTTCGCCTATCAGTTCCGTGGTACCAAAAAGGTCAAGGCTTCCGAGCCCCCAAAGAAGGGCAAGTAAACGCTGTGAAAGAGAGCTGTGTTGCTTTTTATCGTCTCCTTGTTTTATCACACTTGGTCCCACAATGGCGAACGTACATCTACGGCATATGTCACTTTATTCTAGCATACACATGAATGCCATGCATATGCAAATAGCCCTCATTATCGCTCGCGAAATTGAGCGTATTACCGTGTTAGATGGATATAGTGGGTATACGTGAGATGATTTTTCTTTTGTCCTTTTTTTTAAAAAAGAGGGCGCGCAGGAGTGAATATGCCAATTCAAAAGCCTAGCTTCTTGTGTATGATATCGGGATCTTCTTGATACTCCTCTGCTGATACCCACATCTGCGGAAAACCGTAAACACCACTCCACGGCAGGGAGCATTCAAACGAACCTTCTTAAATGTGCCCAACCCTGCCAGGATAGACCCTCCTATCCATGTGGAATACTTGCGTTCCGGGGGAGCATATATTTTGATCTTTACGTCTTTGAGAGCCAATTTCTTCACTTCATTAAGAAGTCGATCGCCGAAACCTGGATTGACGAAAAGATCTGTAAAGCCGGACGGTTCACGATGATCTCCTCACCTTTACACAGAGTACTTCCGCCGCTGAGGACTATGTTCGAAAACAGACTTTTGCGTAGGTCCAAGTCGACCCTATTGATAGAATCCACAACAACCTGATGAACGCCAGCATATTCCTGGCCTATGAGTTCAGGGTTAAACAGGATCTCTGGTGCGCGAAATCTCTCCGGTCCGAGCTGAGAGGGCTATGAGCGAGGAGTGGACAGTACATCCACCGACTTACCTGGATCACATTTCCGTCAGGTAACCGGAACTCCTCCGCACGTCCTAACGAGTCTTTCTCTTCTTTAGAAGGGTTCAGAGCGACATAACAGCACTTCTCTTTGATGATCCTCACAACCTCACGCTCGGCTGTGGTGTGCAAATGGTGCCCAGATTTCCGGAGCAACAGCTGTAAATGGTCGGTCACGTCTCTGGAAAGTCGTCGGCCAATTCTCGTGCGTGTCATAGCTGGATGGTACCCACCTCCCAGCGACATCGACGCGGCGAATGGCGTGTGGCATAGAGAAGCCCTCAAATACCGGGACGGCGTGCGTGACTCCATCCCCTGAATCAAGAACAATGCCCGTTGTTCTACCAGAGGAATACCTTGGACCCAAGCTAATTAGATAAGTGCTTACCCAGCGTGAAAGTACCTACAGCGATAGGACGGCTTGTACCGAGATGAAAAGTGCAGGCACGTTGAACGTGTCGAAGAATATTTGAGCAGCTACGTCACGATTGCTGCGTGGATTCAGTGGGGCTTCCGTCAAAAGTACTGGATGCTATGAAAAGGAAGGTTTGGAGGACGCACAGGGTGCAGTGAGGGATTGAACGTTACTTCTTCGCTGAGCGTTCCGAGCTCTTCAGCATAGATGTGACTCCATATACGCTCCATATCGTCCCAGTCAGTCACTATGCCATGTGCTATCGGATACTTGATTTTGAGAAGACCGCGAAATTCTTGTGCTCTGCGCCCAATGAAAACGTCCCCTTCGAGGGCACCTGCCATAACGCGTACATGCTTGGGCCGTCCGACACTGCAACGTCCGACGGGGTCAGGAGCACGGTACTCGGGTGGCAGGTTGGGACAAACGACGCACAAAGATGGGAAGAAGCATTTTGGGTGATCCTGGCCAGCGAAGCCCGCCTTGATAGTTCCTGATCCCTGCGGCAAGGTATCAGCATACGGAGGTCACGCTAGTTGTGTATGTGCGGACATTGTCGATCACGACTGGTTGATTGGTCAAGACATCTTCGAACTCGGCAGACATCCTGCAGCGTCCGTGGGGTGAGTGAAGGACAGCCTGAGGGTGTGGTTGCGTGGGATGGCTTGCTGAGGACTTTTCGTGTTTACCGGGGTGGGTGTAGTGTGCGCTTGCCGGACGCGTTTGACACGCAGGCCTCTTCTCGGTCTCTCACTACATGGCCCCACAACACCATCGACTGGCACTTAAATTCTTACTGCTCGTCCTACTATGCGTCGTGCGTAGCAGAACAGCGCTCATAGCCGAATCTCTTGACACCAGACCAGGTTCCATCATCGGCCGTCTTGAACAAATGGGAAGTGACCAACTTCTGCAAATGTGTGTCGCTACCCTTTGATCGTCGCCTGGGGATACTCGAACCCGTCTAACAGGTATTTGTTTTGGTTCAAACTATACGATCCTTCAGATGCACACGCCCGACAACCCCTCCAAGCCGTGCCTATCATGCAATAAACAATGGTGTTTGAATCAGAACCTCCCGATCTGCGCCGGCGCCTCCCTGGGCGACACAGACCCAGACACGGCCACTGGAAAGGAAGGTGATGTAGAAGCAAGGTGTTTCCGTGAGCCTCGATGTTTTGGCGTTTGTGACGATGGCGCAAACAACCTTTGTAGAACGTGATTCTCCCCGGGATCAGCTGGTGGTCACGCTGTTTCTCTTGACCGTCCTGGGGTTGTTACTCACATCGGGGATTCGAAACCGCATGCTTAAAGCTGGAATGAATCCCAATTCTGCGTGGTCACCGGCTGGACGGTGGTGGGAAGTTGGTCATTTCGATGCTCTCTCCATCTTTCACACTGAGAATGTATTCCAGGAGTGGCTGCCGCGCGGACACGTTGAGCAATATAGTCTTCGTGAATACGTTCTGCGCCGTACGCGGATGTCGGCGTCAGATGAGAGAGGGAATTACGGGGAGATTTCAGAGTCCTTACCAACATAAAACGTATATCGTAGCGAGCACTTGTACCCCACAGTGGTGATCGATTTGACTACTGCCTCCAGAGCAGACCAGGCATTCCGGTCACACGGACCCGCAGTACACTGCGAGGTACACGTGAGATTCTTATTTGCAGCCTTAAACTCCCACTATCCCAGCTCTTCCGATGGGCTCACTGTGTTCTAAGCGCAATACGCACTCGGGCAGTCAACAGATACTTGGAGGAAGTACCACTGCTACAGGACGTCAGGACTTACGGGAGTTCTGCAGATGCCCGTGCCGCAGCAGCAGCAGCCGCTGAGAGGAGGCTAAAGTCTGTGAGCGCCTGAATCACTCAACTTGTGTCCACGGTTTGGGCTGATTCTTGCATGTCAGGGACAAGCACGACGCATCCATGCAGCGAATCCCAAGGGGAGTCGACCTGCGACGCAACAGGAAGCCTCCAAGGGAACACGAATGCCAACATCCAATAGAGAAGAGGAGCCACTCGTGGTGGGCATTACACTCCGGTCTGGCTTCCGCGATTCTTTGTTGACATTCTCGAACGTAGTGGGATTGAAGGGGGACAAATCCAAATCATCATTCTTGTGCCCATCCCCGAGCCGCGCGTGCGGAGTGATGTATCCGGTACTGACACATGACCTTGCCACTATGATCGCGCCACCGTTTCAGCACCGTGTTCTGGTCTCGGAACCGGCTGCGGCCATTATGGTCGGACCTGCACGCAGGAGGGATTTCGTGCAGTGGGATCTGATGTCCAATCTTAGCTTTCACATCGAACCGACCAGTGGACGTCGGTTCCACGAGGCAAGAACACGTTTTACTACGTGACGAATACAGCGAATACTTTAAGCTGTTCCCCACGCCGACTTCCTGTGATTTGATTCAGTTCAGTCGACTCAGAGACTGCCTTACTTGGTCACGTGTTTTCGGTCATTAAGTAGATGCCCAAATAGAGTGACAGGGTCAAGTGTCAGTTCGTCCCACTTTGTAACCCGACAGCGGGGACGGGAACGAGTTCCCTTGTCTTGTGGATGTCTCGCCCTACCTGGAAGAGAATCCTGTGGCAGAGACAGCCATATCCCGACAATTATATACCTGCCGACTCATTTTTGGCCTCCTTGAGGCGAAACCGTTGGTTTACCTGCCTTCGAGTGTACAAGGCCAAATTTGCTGATTCTCTGATACAGCCAATTTCACCCCATACACATATTGGCCTCTAGTACTTGCATGCTGTCCGATTACACAACATCTTGGCACGATCTTTATATTCGTCGCAGTGTTTGTAAGACTACAGCAACGCTCCCTGGATGCCCGCGTATTACTATGGATTTCTGTGGCCTGTTTCTTGGCTGGGTATCTCGTTTGGGAGGTCCTCAACTATTCCGCCCCTCCACGCGGCCCGTCATCCCGTTCGTCGTGTTGTGGATAGATCTGGACATCACACTGAGTACATCCGATCAGGTTTCAAAGCATTAAAATCGTCGCTACTTTTTTTCCTCACACTCATGGGATTGGCCCCCGTTTTGAGGACCTTGACCGCAGCAACTTCGTCAGATTCTATCTGGGCACTCTCAGCATGTCAGTTCCTTCTGAACACATTGCTGGCTGATTATGGCTGCACAAACGCCGGTTCACAATCACAGGAAAGGTGTGGATCAGCTTCACTCCGAAATCAAGGCCATTCTCACAGTCAACAGGCTAACCTCCGTCCTGTCTATGAATGCGGCGGTGTCATCGTCTGTCGTTCTTGCCTCACGTCTACCTGACGACTTATCTGTTTTTTCGCTCGTTCTATTTGCTGTGCATCTGTTCGCGCTGTTTCCGATGCTGCGCCACCGATTCAGAGTGGGTATTTGTACTACTCCTCTGACAGATATCCTGGATAATAAATAAACGAAGGTCGTCCCGCCAATTTTGCAAGTAACACTGACGGTGTCTATCTCTGCGCTTTCGTTTTCCCTCATCATGTCTTTATCGCCGTTTGTCATTGCGTTGACCTTTGGCATATACGTCACGATAAACGTTGTAGCTCCAGGCGTCCTTGTCTGGGCACAAAGATACAAAAAGCAAGTCTTTTCTTTATGTTCCTTTCCATAAAGGTTGATGCGGTTTCCCAGTGAAATCAGAGGGCCGTGGGACGTCGCGGTCCCTAGGGTGAACGGCAATGAAATTCAATGTAATTGACAAACGCGCCAGCGTGTATAACACATTGTCGGGAACATGATCTTCCGCGCAAGGTTTACTTTACCTATTAATGGCATTCTATTTTCCGCGTGTCGTCCTCGTGAGCACTGTCCGCCCGGAATTCTTCCATGTGACGATCAACTCTGATACCGAAATGCTGGGTATTTGAGATGGTCAACGAATATATTGTGTGGCGAAGGTATCATATTACAGGCGGAGTATAGAACAGCGTGGTGGAACTAGACGAGCGTAATGGATAGGGTACGGAGAAAAATGAGAATAAAATTGCGAGTCACCAAACGGGAGTGATTGCATAATAGTTATACAGTGCTTGGCTTCGTATATTGCATGGCACGAGAGGCAAGTTCTACTTCATCAGGTTTGCAGCTCACCGTGATCGTCTTGAAGGCGGGGCCGCTTGGAGCCAGTCATCACTCCCATGCCAATGCCTCTGGCTTCTAATACTTCCATCGCCACCTTCGCGGCTCCTTCGGAGGACTTCTTAGTCCGCATCCGTGTCCTACGCAAAGCTCCGAATGCCTGGGCTTTGATCACCGCCAAGGTACCGGAAATTGGTGGAGTACTAGGAGAGGGTGATCGCGAGGCCGCCCTTTCAGCGCCGCGTCGAGGACGTAACTTAGAATGCTGGGAGCATGAACCTGCTTCTCCCTCACTACTGCCGCGTTCGTGATGAGAGTTACCCTCACCACCAGAAAAGTGAGGCAGAGATGGTAGCAACGGACGCTCTGGGCCTGAATTTGCACGCCGTGGACCAATTCTGTACCTCACGCCTTCGCTTCCGACACTTGACAGCGATAAGTCAGCGGTGCCTCCATGGAGTGTTACTTCGGCACTGTGTGTGGTGGAGTGTCGGCGATAGTCGAATTCCGTGCGGTCCCGTGAAATTCCTGAGTTCTCAGGGGGAAAGGCAAATTGGAATGATGACGTCAGGGAAGTCGTCGATGAAGACGATGGCGTAGACGTGGACGGTGATATGGACCGGCTTCCAGGGAAGAGGTAAGGCGCAGTTTCCAACTGACTGATAGGTACCTTTTGTTCGTCGACGAAAGAACGGCCGACATACATTTCCGGCGAGGTCAACGTGGGAGACCCTGTGCGAGTGAGATCAGGGCCGATAAGATTGGTCGTGGGACATGACCTACCACTAGAGGAAGAGCTTTGCTGCATGCTATGGTTCCAAGTGCTGTCACGGCTGATGGTTTGCACAGGGTAAGGGTACTGGTTAAACTTTGAAGGCCGACTACTGCCCATTTGGTGGGAAGCTCCGCTAGAAGGAAGTTGTTCGTTATCAACGCCAGGGTATGATAGTGAGGGCGAATGGCCCGGGAAGGCGTGACTCGGAGCAGGAGTATAATTGCCGTTGGACATGGAGGTGGCGTCATCGCCAGTTTGGTATCCTATACTATCGTCACTATATTGGCCGGGGCGTGATGCATGCAAGCGTTTACCCATCACATTCGATTGGGGTTGCACAGGGAATGTTGACGGCAATGATGGGATGTCATCGGTGTCGGGTACCTGGCCCGTTTTCCTTGCTTGCCATAGCGCCCTCCAAAATTTCTCGCGCTCCCGTAACTCGTGCCTCAGTCGGGCGTTATCCTGTCTCAGTTCACCAGCTTCGTTACGGGCTTCGCGGCAGGAATCTTGAAGCTGGAGAACCACGGATTCCAGCGAAGTAACTGTGCAGCATGAGGTGGACGGCATGACCTGTGTGAAGAATAAGACTGACCTGTCTCTTCGAGGGTCGCGATATAATTGGCGCGCCTAGCCCGGGGAGTCACTGTTAGTTTAAACGCAGGACGGATAAGTGCTTAGACACCTTTGACGAAAGGCAGCCTGGGCGTCAGCATTTTTCTTCTTGCGGAGTGCGATATCAGACATCCGGGGAGACGATTCGTCAACATCGGCTTTGAAGTCAACCTCGTCATCTGGGGGAGAGTGGCCTGTTTCGAACTTGTTTGGCATGATAATGAAACTGGCAGAGAAAGGGCAGATAACAAAATAAAAGGTAATACAGAAGGGGGGAAAGAGGAGAAGCGCTTGGAGGACGATGGGGAGCGGGAAAGAAGTTTAATATGGCATGGAAAAAAAGAATTCGAAACCAGGGCACGAGGAGAGAGACGGTGTGTGATCGAGTTAAGCGAGCGTATTTACAATCCAGTCAATCATCATGGGTCCAGCGCCTCGCGCCGTCGAGCCGCCCAGTGGGAGCTGCATATTTCTCCGGCTTTCACACTATGCCAGATGCTGGGCCACCATATACTTTCGATCTCTCCAAGTTCGCAACGTGCAGTTGCGGTGATGTGGCAATGATAGAATCATACCAGATCTTGTTATGACTCCAACTGCGTGCACCGTAGTAGATCTGCGTTTCATTACCGAAGACATGGGTGTCTGGCACGGGCCCAGACGGATCCTTGGCTTGGAAGAACTTTCGCCGAACTCGGGTGCCAACCAAGTTCACCCGTTCGCTGGTCGCGGCCTTACTGATCCCTGTCACAGCGGCCGATTGCCGCAATCATGCAATCATGTCTGCATCATAACTTATCCTGATAGTTCTCACTCCCACTCCTCTACACCTAAAATGGTACCTATTCTCCACCCTGCAGGTCCTCGTTGCCACCAGGGACATCCCTGTCCCCGTAAATCACAATCCAAGCATAGGAAAGCACGAGGCAGACTTTACGGACCGAGATCACCTTCCGTCATGGTCATGCCCCGACCATCTCCATCTCCGATGCTGCATCCGCTTCCATCTCGTCTCCTTCCATGTCTATGACCTCCATCGTCATCCCATCGCCCCCTAACACACAGACGACCCTCCGGCCAACCCGTCCGTTCACTGCCATTGAAATCGACCCGCTCTTGCACGCTGACAACCGGCGGCATTTCGTGATCGGAACCCCACCACCCATCAGCTGAATCATGCCGTCAGTAACAGCTCTCGCCAAAAACATGAGACTTACATGCCCCTCCCTCCATCGTTGCAACATATCCACAATCATATCTTTTTGCGCAGGACCACTTACGTATTCTTCTGATTCCAGCCTTTGGTATCTCAGCATCGTGTAATTCATCGTACCGACATATATCGGACCTGGGTTTGTGGTTATGATTAAAAATTACACTGAGTATGGTGCCCACGCTGCTTACCCTGCGTTCCTTTGATCCGGTACACCAAAACAATCACATTGTCATCAAAAAATTCAGCATCCAATATGTCAAGATCTCCGCCTTCATCGCCGTCCATGTCCACTGAACATTCCAAGATGGCAACTTCAAAACTTCCAGCCACCCTCGCGTACTGACCACATGGCATTCTACTTAGGTACACTATGTTGTGCACGTTGAGTTGCCAAACACAAGAAACCGAACTACTCACGAAGGGACTGTCCTTCCGGATTTAAAAGGGCGACAAGATACTGTAGGTCACCATTGGGCTGTGCACGTTGAACACAGTTGAACAACTCTTCGCAGAAAGAAAAACACCGTTCACCTCGTTGTCGTCACGAATTACCCGGTGGCAAATAAATAGACAATTATTTTTGGGAGTAGGGCTTAATTCCTTCGCCTTAGTCAGTACAGCCCCACTATCAGCTGGTACCGTTGCGGACCGGGCAGTGGCTGGGGAGGCTTGCGCAAAGGCTTGTTGGCACCGCATAGCCAATTTCTGTACTAGCACATCTAGATTTCTGTCTAGTTGTGAAAGCTCTATGCGCACGACATTCTACAGCAAACGACCCATTTCATGAGCAGCGTCGGATCCACTCGAAAGAAATGCCTACTGGTTGCCATGCAGTTTGTGAAGGATCTTGAAATGCGGTGCGGGCCAGTTCCAGTGCATCATCCAGAGATTTTGGGGTTTGTGAAGTGCAGAGATCACCGGGATTAAATTGAGGTGCTGACCCTGTAAACCACCGGTCGATTTGGCTGGCCATAAAACCGGACATTAAATAGTTGTTCACTTCAAGTATATCATAGTCAAGGAAAGCCTGGGACTCTCCACTCATGTTAGCCACTGTCATCTCTTGCTCAAACTGTGAGACATAGTCGTATATGCAGATTCAAAGCACGAACCATACCGGATGAAATTAAGAAATTGTTTGAATGTCCTGAGTTCCTTCTTCGCTTCAGTAGCGAGCCATGCCGAAACGAAAATGCCACGCTCCACAAGGCTCAGGCAAGTTACGATGTCGCTCGTATTCAAACCAAACGGCGCAAGGTGTGACCTGAGGAGATGTGGAGTTAATTAACGGCGGTTTTCTGGGAGCGCTCACATGAGTGACCATCCACGAATTTCATCGAGAACAATGTGGAGTCTCTGCAAGGCGGGGATAATCCGCATGTTCGAATAGTCGCACATTTTCGTCAGTGCATCAGTAATTGCATTGTCCCACTTTTGAAGTGCCTACAAGAGTGTCAATTATCTAGGTGTCAGCTCTCCTGCCACTATACTCACTCTGTCACTAGTCTGATCACTGCTGAGGATAAAGTCTGAGAGTCCCTCAGACATGGATCCCGTGACAAGAAAGCTAGTGAGTTCAAAAACAGCGTCAGGATCTTCTTCTGCGCAAAACAAGAAGTTAACTCGGGACATAAATCGCGGCTCAGATTAGTGCACTTACGACCATACTCCTCCTTGAGCCTTTTTTCCAGAGATTCCACCCACGTCTTTCCAATTTCCCTTGCCCCAGTCACAGACGCTGAACCAAGCCAGGCTTCCTTCATCTCATCAAGAACACTCATAATATACCTCATCAACTCGCGCGCAGCGGAAGATAGTCGAGCGAATTCGCGGACGGCTGGAGTACCTAGGAGTGGAACGTTGACGAGCATCGGCTGCATGCCAGCTGAAAAGAAATCGCCGTCAGGGCTCTCCGAGTGGAACAGGAGGAGCGGTGGATTAGGATGCTTGTATAAGAATATAGGTGGATGCCCCCCTGGTAGAGTAACTGTTCCAAGGCAATAGGTCCCGGCTAGGAAGAGGTGGAGTCCACCACTCTGGTCAGCTAGGGCCAATAGACTATCCTCGTCTGCTTTGCGAAACAAATTATCCGCGCTGCCACTTTTATGGTTTTCATCTGTTTGGTCTGGAGAGCTAATAGAAATATCTTCCAGAATGGGTACTAAGGACGGCCATTGAGTAATCACGTCGGGGACCGATGTCTTTCGGGTACTCCTAGTCTGAGTCCCTTGAAAAGCAAAGAGGTCCGTCGCACTGTAAAAGGCGTCATCAAATGTTCCTTCGCTGGTGAATGACTCACGTGACGTGTCTGCTTGTTTCTTTAAGGGGATCAAGCAAGGGTAAAATCTTCAGAATGGACAGTGCTGAGCCAGTCTTCTCGAGCTAGTTAAAGTACGAGAGATGCGCCGAGGGTAACAAGAACATACCTTCACCCCATTCCTCTTGAAAATGTCAGGAATGACATCGGTGGTGGACTCACTGAGTCCGGGAAACCACCAAGCCCCAACTACCTTGGGGACAGTTTGGGCTCCCCGACAGGAGTTTATGGAAAGAGAACGTTCGGTACGACCATCTTGAACGGAATGCATCGTGATTCTCCCGGATTCATGCACCACAGCGATGGTCTGTCCTAAGGCAAGATAAGTTGAAAGTTATAGAGGAGGTAATAAGCCTCCACCGTCTGGATGCCAGACAAGACTGGCAACAGTAGCAGGAACGTCGTCGGTTGCGATATCAACCTCCCACTTTCTAGAGCCCTGCATTTTCCACAGACTAATTCTATCGCGTCCTCCCAGGCGAGCTATAAGAACGACGAGGTCCTTGTCCGGACAACAGGCCGACGCTAACAAACGGCATGGCGAGGGCAACTTGAATGTCGCGAGAGACGCGAACGCGTTGCTGCTGTCCATTTGACAGTAATGTGACTCCGCAAGGTGTTAAGCCGATCCCTTACCAAAACAGGCGAAACCTCAAGTAACTAATAGTGTAAGCGTGCAACTACCGCCTTCCACCCTTCCGACTCATTCCACCAATCTTGTCTCCCTTTCTGGCACGTATGCCCTCTCTCCTCGCCTTCACTGATAGATCCTGAGCGAACACGCTCCCAGCTCGCGAAGTGATTTTAGGTATCGCTTTTTTCCGTCCACCGGTTCTTGGTTGAATTTTGCTAATCTTACCAGCTCTTGCTTCTCTTTTGGCCGATCGTATTGCAGCGTCTATCGCGCCCTTTTCACCCGATTCTTTTTCGGCGTCCAAGGTTATTTTACGGCGCTTGGCCTTTCTCGAGAGTCCAGCGTACTTTTCCCTCTTGGGCTGTGCAATTCCGTGGAGTGAGTGTTACTTTGCGTTGCCAATCACACTCACTTTGGAGGAGTCGCTAGGTGGCACACCTGCGTGTTTCTGCTTGTCTGTGGCTGCGAGACAGCTCAGAATTCAGTCTAGATTTACCACCTCAAAAGCTTTACCTGCTGCTCGCGCCTTGTCCTTCTCAGTTTGGAACCAGGTTCTTCGAGGCCTTGAAAAGATCTCTGCCTCGTGCTCAAGTATATTCTGGCCTTTTTTCAACTCCATCTCCGCCTGTCGCAACTGCCAGGAACGCTGTAAATCAGAAACACATTCACGATAAACATTCCTCCTACGTACCCGCTTCTCTTCCTTCTCTTCCTGCAAAACCACCACAACCTCATTCTTCAACTCCCTTACCTTGTCAGCCCACCTCCGCAAGATTTCAGGAGGTACAATCCGATGTCGAATGTTGTCGTCCCCAGCGTTATGCTTAATCACGGATTTAAGCAATTTACGATCCCCTTCTCCAACCAAGGTCACGGACCTGTACAATTCAGCAAAAATAACTCCGACGCTGGATATCACATACCGCCCGCATTTCCCAGCTCGCGCTGTCCGACCGACGCGGTGAAGGTATTGTTCAAATTGGCTAGGCATGTCGTAATTAATGACAGTTTCGATGCCTGTGATGTCAAGTCCACGAGAAGCTAGATCGGTGGCCATCAGAAAATCGGCCTGACCATCACGAAATGACTGGAGAGCTTTCAAACGCTGTCCACCGTTAATACAGGTAGTGGAATCGTACAGAGGAGTTACCTGCTCTTGTGAAAGGTCACCATGCAGTTCTTCGGCATTCATGTCCAGCAGACCGAACAGCACCCGCACTTGATGAGCGAGCTTCTTGCTCCGAAAGAATATGATGACCCGCTGCCTAAATATTCGCTTGCAAAGTGTCACCAGCAACGCTGTCCGATCCGCCTCTTTCTCGGCGCGGACGCGGACGAACTCTTGAATCAATTCCCTAGCGGTTGTTCGTTTCGGATCAACAAAGAGGCGCACTGGTTTTTTTAATGACATTTTCACCAATTCGTCGACGGAATCTGTCATGGTAGCAGAGAACAACATCGTCTGGCGAGAAGCAGGACAGGATTTGATAATCTCGTTTAGCTCGTCCGCAAACCCTTCAGACAGCATGCGATCTGCTTCGTCCAGTACAAGCACGTCAAGGGCATCTAAAGTGAAAGAAGGCGAGTTGCGGAGGTGATCTATTAGGCGGCCTGGAGTCGCAATAACAATATCAGGCCGCGCACGCAAAGCGACTTCCTGAGATTTGAGTGAGAGACCCCCTGTAACAATTCACACATTTCAGGCGGAGACACGGAAAGGAGTTGTGTACATACCAGCCACAAGGCAAAACCGGATGTCTGTATAGGCCGAAAGCTTTGATCCCACCTCAAAACATTGTACTGCAAGCTCTCTTGTCGGCACAAGAATGAGACAACGGGTGGCGGCAGCATGTATGCCCTTTTCTCGGTATAAAAGACGTTCCAGGATCGGAATGGTGAACGCCGCTGTTTTACCTGACCCGGTGACAGCATTCCCCACGACGTCCTTACCCAAGAGGGCAACTGGGATTGCAGCGGCCTGAATTGGAGTGGGTGACACGAAACCGAGGCTAGTCAACGCTCTTTGTAATGGGCGTGAAAGGTTCATGGTGAGGAAGGAGGAATGGGAGTCCTGGGGTGTCACAGTGTCAAAAAATTCCGCTTTACGATCTTCGTCTGCTTCAAGTACGCTCTCCGAGTGGCTTGAGGAGTCGTCGTCTTCGCTGATCGTGTCGTGTTGCCAGTCCAATGAGGAATCGCCAGAATCTGTGTCACCACTGCTTGGTTCATTTTCCTCTTCAGATTCATCCGAAGTCTCGGAAGCCATTCCATCCTCAGTGTTGTCGTCGCTCCCGCTTTGTGAACTGTGCTCGCTCGATCTTTTCCTTTTACTGACACGCTTAAGTTTTCGTCTCTCGATAATTTCATCGATAAAGACAGAATTCTGCCAGACGTCAATATGATAAAAACGGTTGGTGAACTGGCACTGACAAGCCCTGGCTTTAGTACATTGTTTACAATGTCTGTTGTCTCGTCCGGATAAAATATATCTGTGGACGGGTCGCCCGACAGGTCGAAATGAAAATCAGCATTGAGTTGGACCTCTTCGCGTTCGTCATGGGCCTTCTTGGAGCGCTTCTTGACTCGGCTTTCGTCATCAGAGTCTATAGTCATGATAAAATCCATGGTGAAGGAGTCCCTGGCAGACCGAGAAGCAGTGAAACGCGGTTAAGTCAGCTCAAGCTCGATCGATTTCCTTTTACGTGACTGTTTACTTCGACCTCGGGTTAGAAAGTGCAAAAATTCTTATGAATAATAACACGTATATAAGCATGCGACAGGGTATCCAACAGTAAATAGAAAGCACGTTGGTGATACAGCAGTTCAGTACGGCGTACAACGACATTGTTTCACCACTGGAATAACCGACGAATAAGGGTATTGTCTCTTGCATGCGGGAAGTGAGTATCATCACGAGAGAATGACCTGGGTAAACTCGGCACGAGAGGTTCATCCAAACTTGCCTCTGGAACTGGTGCTATCCTGGAATTTTGCATCTGTACGATATGAGAATGACGGGAGCCTACGGCAAGGGCGACTGCCACTCACTCCTATTGACATAACGTATCCATTGAATACAAGGTCTCGTATCTTGGAGCGTTCCCGGAAGTTATAGTCGGTCGTCGTTTGGCATTGTATTTGGCATTGCGTGGTACATTGTATAAAGCGCCCAAGCATGCTAAATTTGCCCCAGTGAACTTTCTTAGGTTCTGTACGACTGAAATCAGGGTTTCCTTCGTGAGCGCGTATGAGATCCGACATGTGGACTTCACTGCAAAGTTACACATCAGGTTTTGGCTATGAAACAGTGAAGTGGTCAGTTACAGGGCTGGTATACATGCTCCTTTAGTATTCTTGAGAGCCATTCGATAGGCTTGGTGAGCGCCTCTCTGCTGCAACAAGACATCCCATGACAACAGATTTTTGTAATGGTCCGGATATTTGGATTTAAATGTCTCCATGGTGTCGTCACCCTGAAATGTGGAATTGTTGATGCCGGCGACGAACGCACGTAGAGCGGAGTAGTTGTTTAGGGCACGAAGCTTGTGGGCAATGTCGACGAACTTCTCAATTTGTTTAGCACGGTTCCTTGGTTTGTCGTGGCAGAGAATGAGAGACACAACCCTGATGCTCTTCAGGCCAGATCAGGCATGGAGTAGCATTGTGTTTCTCACCAGTCCCCTAAATAATTTGATATTGCGTTAAACCTCGCGATGGTATCTGTCTCTGGATCTTTGCGACCCGGAACGATAGTATAACGTAGCCAATCTCTTGGCTTGATACAAACCTCGTCAGCTGCGGCCAACTATAAAAAACGAAAATATTACTTCTATTGCCATGAAAAACGATGCTTCGACCCGTGTTATCTCTTCCGCAATCTCAGAGCAGTCGTAATTTTGCAGCTCCTGCGAATGCTTAGAAAGTTCCTTCAGCAGCTGCTTCAGCGGGATGTCGGGAGAGTCAGCAACCGGTGTCGACACAGGCATGATCAATGCCATCGCACTTAAAGGCAGGCTCTGTTTTCGCTCTCTCGAGCTAGAGCCTGTGGAAGCCTCGTAAGATGGTGTGACGGACGATTTGCTCGTTGAAGCTGAAGTCGACCCCGCAGCTAGCGACGACCCAAGCGTGTCATCTTCGCCGTCAGAAATACAATAGGGATCTTCAGTATCGTCCAATATGGGCTCTGCTTTCCGTGCCCATGCGGCATCAACATCGCGGACATCGGGTATATGCTCCAGAAATGGCAAGAAATCGGAACCATAATGGCAAAGATGGGTTTTGCGCAAAATGGACTTTACTAACGCGCTCAACGCTCCAGAGGTATCGGGAACAGCAAAGTCTTGAGGATAACGCTCAATCCAGGTTTGCAGCAGATGACAGATCCTCAAGATGATTGTCTTCAAAAGATGCAACGAAAACTTCAGCAGGTGGCATACCTCATCTCAGCATAGCCTACAAAGCCTGAGTCACCTAGGGACTTGTCCAGTTCCCGCATACGCTTCTGCATGGCCAACAAGAGGTTCCGAGGACTTGCGAACCTCCGATACGTAAGTAAGAAATGTGAGATGAAAGTTGGGTCTGGGAGTAAGATGTAAGTTTCATCAAGAAGATAAAGCAGTCCAACATACCATCTCCACTAACGGCAAGGAATAGCAACTTGTCAAGCAACTCCTCTAGCGTGACATACTGGGCGGATCGCCTGGAGAGACTTAAATGAGGTTCGGAATGACCAAAACAGATAAACGCACGTTTCCTTCTCCTTCAGGAGCTGACGTTCTTCTTCATTAAGACCATTCGTCAGGTCGCCAGCCCGCTGCAATGGTAAGACTGATCCTAGCTGCGTATTTGCGGCAGCAGAAAGGTTATTCGTACTACGTGCACTTGACAATTTTCGCTCTTCCGAATCTCGTGACTTGGGTTTCTCGTGCTCTGCGCGGAGATCCGAGGTCGAGCGTGCGCGAGTAGGAGAACCCGCAGATGAAGGAATGGGAATCGGGAGGTTAGCTGTAGGCGAAAGCTGGAAGGAACCTGAGCGGTCTTGGGATGATGTATGATTCGGTGGTGCTGAGGACGGCGTGCGTGCCACGGACGTCGAACCTCGACCCTCCCACAAAACGGCTGGCGCTGCAGCATCCGGTGTAGCAGAGTTTCCGAGGTCGATACCTGATACATAATATGAATACGCAAAAACGATGGCTGGGTCGATGTACTCACTGTGTGTGCGGGCGAGCCACCGTAACATGTAGCCGAAAGCCTTCCTCATTTTTACCCTCCCAGTGTCACTGAGATCCACAGCCGCCACCTGGATATCGTATTCAGCGAACAAATTCACGGGCATCGCTCGGTCGACTACTGGTTCCAAGTCGGATTTAAGGGCAATCGCGACAACGCAATGTTTCATCGGGCTTATCAACCCTTCGCAATAGTAAGTCGCTGAGAGTGGTCTCGACGTAAATATGGACATACGAAGAAAATCGGGCACCGGAGCAAATGACGATGGATCCGCAGAATCGTAGCATACAAAAATGCCACCCACGGGAGGGAGTGTCGCGACGCTTGTAATATCCAGCTCGTAAACGCATACTACATGAGGGAGAGATTCGCGCTTCGACGATTCCGACTTCCTAACATCTAAGCACAAAAGCTGAAGGACGAACAACTTGAATGTGCAGAGAGGACTTACAACAGAAGGGAGAGGATGATAGGCCGCTGGGCGCATTAAATAGTGCATCCAAGTTGTTCACACCGTGAGACCGTGCATCTTCGGCGACAAAGGTAGACTTCCCGCAGCCAGGAGTGCCAACGACCGCGATGCGAAATTCCCTCGAGTGCAACTTGGGCGCCTCAATAAACACTAGTTGCTGTGAAGTAGACGGGAAACTCACTGAGAGTTGTGTCGTATCAATGAGTGGGGGCCGACTGCCAGAACTGTCGGTACTCCCTTGCAGGCCAAGACTGCCGCTCCTGACGCGGCCAGACATAACCTCCGTGATGGAGGAATGTCTCGGAAAAGATTGTAATGATGTGGTTGAATGCAGTCTTCGGCTGTCATCGTGAGGTAGCGGTTGGGCAAACGTAAAGGGGAGGAGAGGTTGTTGGTTGCGAGCAGGAAGCTTGAGATCACCAGGGCGTCGGGACGGGCGGGCCTGTTCACCGCCCTTGACTGAGGTTCGCCTACCTTTATCTATTGAACGTTTCAAGGGTGGCCAGGAATCGGATTCGAGGCCTTGGTCGATGGCGGAATCGTTGCCATCACTGGCAGTACTGACACTGTGACCCCGCGAGCGCGCATAAGGGGGTATGGTCTCCGGTTCACGGCGGCGGCGAGCGTCGATAGACAGTTCTGACCTACGAGCTCTTGACGAATCTGCGTTGGGAAGTGTGGCGTTCCTAGCACCTGTTGGCGAGGGTGGCACGGAGTCCTTGGGTTGGTGGACGCGTAGCGAGTCAGCCGAAGCAGATTTCTGGTGAATTTGTTGCTGGACGGAATCAGCGGTGGAAGAACCGCTTGCATATGGTTGACTCTCTGGAGAATATGGCGTGGCGGGTGTTGAGGGCTGGGGGGCGGATCCGCCCGTGGCTGTTTGCGAGTGAAGACCGGGGGAATCGTGAAGAGCCGTGTCCGAGTCGTCAGGCATTTCAATGGGCGGGAGAGTTGGAATGGCAGGCAGTGAATGGGAGGAGTCGGTACTAGTGTCAGTTGTCATGATGGCTGCATCCGCTGAGTCGCGGCTTCTGCTAGTGCAGCGATTAAAGCAGCCGAACGAGAGAGTGGCGAGCAATGCAAGATTAGCCTGCTGATGGCATATGAGAGATGGTTTAGACGCTCGCCGGTCGGGGAGAGGCCGAGTATTGGAATCTCAATATTTCAATCATCTCATTCTTCACAGTCACAACAGTCGTCGATTGGAAGGAGGTACTGGTACTGGTACTGTACTACTCATTTGTCTCGAGTGTGATAAATGGAAGAAAAGAATCGGGTATTTCACAAGTTCCATATATACTTCTACCCTGAACACGGAATGAGGACCCGGTCACACACGGCGGAAACGGATGCACAACTTACCTGACATCCCTATCACAGACACCGCTTTTTGCAAGGCTCGCACCGAGAAATACCTCACATCAGCATCCCCATCATTCTTCTCCTGTTCCAACGTTGGAACGACTTTCTGTTTGATAAATTCTCGGCCTTCTGCAGTGCTTCCGAATGTCGTGGCCAGAACCTCTAAGGCCTTGCAGACGTTGAATCGTATATTGGGGATCGGGTCCGCAGCAAGCTGCAGAAGAGGGCCGATAATCTCGCTTTGTATAATCGGTAACGTCAGCGAAGGTGAAATAGTCTAGCATGCCTCAAGTGAGTCCCGTGATAATCACCCTCAAAGGACAGACGTACCGCAATGGCCTGCACAGTCGTCATGCGATACAAGTAGTTAGGATGCTGCCCCATTCCCATAACTTTGGGAACAATGGCAACCCTGGCCCACTCAACTCCGAAGACCTCCGTCAATTTTTTCAGGTTGATGGTGGCGGCTTCGCGTATGCTGAAAACAGTATCACCCAGCCAGGACATGCACAAATTTCCAAGCTGTTCGTCGAAAAAGGGCTTTCCGAGTTGGGTCGCAAGTAGAGGGATGTATTCTATAATCGCTTGCCGAACGCGCCACGACTTATCTTCGGCAAGTTCGAGAATCGCAGGAAGTAGACTATCAGACAGCAGTTCAATGTCAATTACTTGACAATCTTATGTTAGAGAATTTCATGCATGATAATGTGGTGCACCATACCGCCGTTAACTGTCTGTAGTTTACTGATGACATTCAGTCGGACGTCAGCGGATTCATCCTTGAGTAGATGCAGGAAAAGAGGGAGAAGATTTTCAATAGTGGCTTCCCGGCCAAGGAGTGGTGCAAGTCCACTTATTTGGTTTGCCAACGCAGCTCTAACATGCTGAGAGGTGTCGTGTGACAAGTCACGCACACAGGGGACGATACGAGCCAGGATAACCTCCCTGTCCAGCAGTTTCGAGAAACCTGACAGTCAAAGAGGCTTGTTTCAGCTTCGCGTGAGAAATATGACCGCCCTCACCTGGAATCTGTCCAGCAGCTGCAGTGCGGACCTCAGCTTCGTTATCTTTTAATAGTTGCACACATTGGCCGATCAGCTCCTCCCTAACGAGTTCTACACCAACAGCCTCAGCCAGCTGAATCGGGCGAACGTATTATCAGGCTGCCGGATGGTTTAGACATACTCATACCTCATTAAAGTGCGTTGCGGCCATGTATCGCACCCTCCAACTCTTATCAGAGACGGTAACCCTTATTTGTTTCAGCAATTGCTCTTTTACCTCCTGTGGCGTGAGTTGTTGGGCGATGGTAATGAGATCTTCCACGGTTAACAGTCGCACTGAATCCTGGTCGTCACCATGAAGTCTGCGATAGATTGGCAAGCCGTCCGTAAGGACATGTTGCTTGGACAAAGCCTTCACGAACGCCTAGAGGATGTGTCGCGTTAAAGTTCCATCAGAGGCCGTCTTTGGATGAACGTACCCCCAACGATCGCGCAGCGGCACGCCGTACCATAGGCGTGTCGTCTGCGCCTAACGCGGAGAACCCCTTCCGTAATTCCTCCTGCAGAGCCGGCGACACCTTCTGATATACAGGGGCGTAGAGTGCAGCAGAGGAGGTTCGAGAGGTGAACCATTCGCCTTGTGACAGGCGCTTTAACAAGGGGATATAGTGTTCTTCGACTTGAAGAGGAGACAGGACACCAGCTATCTTGGCAATAGATTCTGCCGCCTATGATTTCCTATATGATGCTATTCCAAGAAATAAGAGATAAGAAACATACCTTGTCCCGAACTAGAGTTTCTTCCACAGCAGAGAGATTTTCGAGGGGGCCCAGGAGAACATGTGCATGCTGGGGTCCGCCGATATACTCCTCGAAATCTCGGCCTAGTTCCTCCGCAAGGGCCAGTAATACTTCATCTTCGTCATCGACAGAGTCCTGGAGGAAGGGAATGAGCTCATTCCGTGCACGATCTGGTCCCAGGGCAAGGGCTATCGTGGGTATGCTGTGGATAGCATTGAGTCGCAGTTGGACCTCGTCCGAGCGCAACTCGTCAATAAGCACGGCAATTGGCGCGATCTAAGCAGAGTGTAGATAAGCTGAAGCACCTATTGGAACTCGAGGGACACACGTCGTCTACGTTGAATGCTTGATCCATCGAGGCGCTGGAACAAAACGGTGAGGAGGATTCAGAATCGGAGAGAAGGAACGCCGAGCTACACGGAGAATATCGTGATATTGATCCTTTATGATTGGTTGCAAGATGGCGGGCAGTCTAAGAAAGAATGCTAGGAGATTCTGTCGACTTGAACAGATCTTGGCTATGTAAGTGATGTGCGGTGATGTCCTTTTTTGGGAGATCCATCAACTTGTCTACGCAACTGACTAAGTCATCGCAAGTAGTACTTCAGGGGAACGACCATCGTCGCAAGGGAAAGATGCCTGTCCAGCTACTAGACGGACGCGTGGTTCTTTCCCATCCAAAGGTAAGTCCTCCCCCCAACAACGATAAGTCACCAACGTCTTCTCCAGGACGCATCTCTCGAGGTTCTACTCTTCGGTGCTACCGTCACATCGTGGAAGGCTGGATCGCACAGAGACCCACAACCTTCCGAGCGGCTATTCTTATCATCTAAAGCCGTTCTTGATGGTTCCAAGCCAGTTCGGGGTGGCATTCCCATCGTGTTCCCATGCTTTGGTCCACCGGTCCATCCCGAACACTCCCGCCTCCCTCAACATGGCTTCGCTAGAAGCGAACTTTGGAAGTTCGACAGCGTCGTCATGGATAACGATGCTGGTGTCTCCGTGAGGTTGAGTAAGTCCAGTGGCGCATGGGTATTATCCTTGCTTAATGAATTTGGGTTAGCTCTGGAACCAACGCCGGAGATTGCAGCCAAATACAACCGACCATTTCATCTGGCATACGTGCTCACTCTGGCGGAACATCAATTGAGCGCAGCCCTTCACGTCACTAACACCTCGACTTCTGCCGACTTCCCCACTGATAACCTTGAATTCCAAGCCTTGTTTCACACTTACATCCTCGCTCCTGCGGATCAAGTTCTCATCTCCCCGTTGCAAAACGTCAGGTATTATGACAAGACAGCAGCGGCCGAGGAAGACCGAAACTTGGCGAGGGTGGAGTCCAGGTTAGGGGTCGATGTCCTCAAGCTCACCGATTCCGTCTACGAGGATGCACCACAGATATACGACGTAACATGGCCTGGTGGAGGATTAGAGATAAAAACAAATGCTTTGAAGGATGTTGTCATTTGGAACCCGCAAAGGGATGCTGGAAGTAGAATGGCAGACATGGAGCATGCCGGGTGGTGAGGAAGGCCGTCAGCGTGTTTCATCGGCATAACTTGCTAACGAAGTCGAACAATAATAATTAGGGAAAGGTTCGTCTGCGTCGAACCGGGTTATGTGAGGGGATTCGCAAAGGCAGAGCCCGGAAAGACGTGGATTGGACAGCAAGTTCTCTCCGTAATCCAGGAAGAAAGGAGAATCACTTAATGTTGGTTGTTATATTGGACGGAGTGTGGCCATTTGTACAGAAGCAGGCAGTTTTTTGTGATAGGAAATATTTGTTGTGTCGATCAAGTTGTGGTTCTACCGATGACTAAGCAGGAAACGGTTAACATCTGACAGATGCATCCAGTCATTGTACCTTCATTCCTTGCTCCGTTGTGAAATGAGTTGACCGACCAATGGATTTCTCGGCGCTGAGCGGATCGACGTTCTCTGCCCATATTAATCAGATCGACTACACCATGTGTCCTCCGGGGCCACTCGACAATTCGGCCCTCCCTCGCGTACCTGTTATTCGCATCTATGGCACATCCTCTGCTGGCGAAAAAGCTTGCGTACATATCCACCAGGTGTATCCTTACTTCTTCATTGAATACACCAAAGAGATGACCCCAGAAAATGGTATGGACCCCACCATGTTGACCCCTGTCTGCACTAACGTATGATTAACCAGTCAACCGATATATTACTAAGTTGTCCGTCTCACTCGACCACGCCATTGCCCTATCTCTCAAGCGTAATCCAGGCTTCCAGTATGTACGGGCAATTACACTTGTCAAGGGTGTGCACTTCTACGGCTTCCACTCTTCGTACTCGCCTTTTCTCAAAATACACCTCATCGATCCTGCACTCACAAATCGTGCTGTAACACTGCTGCAAACTGGCACCATCATGCGAACGAAATTCCATGTATTCGAGAGTCATCTGAGTTACCTACTACAATTCATGTGCGATTTTGGTTTATACGGGTGTGGGTGGATAAATCTGGGTGAAGTTTGGGAGCGCAGCCCAGAAATTCAAGAACCACCACCTTCACAGCGACTGTACTCATTCAAGTTTTCCCCGTACTATCGTCAATCTCGGATGCCCGTTGAGGTCGATGCGGTTGCCCACCAAATACTCAACCGCCATCAGCTTCAAGCCCGCAACGTCCACAACGGATTGAATATTACTGCCCTCCCTCTTCCATCCGAACCTGTCGTACTGAGCGTTCGTGAATTGTGGGAGGATGAACGAAGACGTCGGATTAGCAAGGGCTTATCTCCAACTCCAAAGTTACCCATCGACGCTGGTAAGATTCCCAGAGGCGGGGGCGGTGATTGGGTTGCAGAGGCTCGGTGGTGGGAAGAACTCAGGAGGAAGATAGAATTGGAAAAGCAGGATGGCTCATTCATGTCTGAAGGTCATTCCGGCTGGGAGAGGTGGGTTATGACGACCTTCGAGAGTGTGGAGGTTCTCTGGGAACCTCAGTGGAAGGTTTGGAAGCCAAGCAAAGGTGATGTGGGTACAGCAGAAGATGGCATTTCTCACCCGATGGAGGGAACCCACAATCCATTTGCTCAAGCTTCTCAAGGCACCCCTTCTACATTGACGGGAAAACCAGAAGAGGCTGAAGTAGACGTGGATGTGGTAATACTTTCCAGCCAGGACATTGACCTGACGACGGCAAGGAACGAAGGTGAAGATGGCGAGAACGATGATACCGAGGATGTCATTGATAGTGGAGAGAATGAGGAACTGGAAGATTCCTCACGGAACCTGCCGTTCGAGGGAGAAGTTGTCTCCGATGAGGCACCCCGAGGAAGGTAAGTGCAAAGGATGTACTGCTGCTCTGGGAACTACAGCTGCTCTAACCTTAGTGGAAACAACGACCACACCATGGGAACCCCCAACCGCTTTTCAAACGTCTGGAATAGACTCTCAAGGTCAGCCATGACGTTCCATTTTTTTCCCCCCAAACTTACGACCAAACAAGAGAGAAACGACCGCGCAGTACTTCGGAGCTTCGTTCAGAACCAGCGACACCGAGAAAGTGGGTGACACGTTCCAGTTAAGAAATGTCGCAGTGACTGTTTTCATGTGAATGCAGAGTTCGAAGGCTGTCGCAACAACTGACCACCCACGACATTGTGACACGATCGGCGTAGGTTTTTTCTTGCTGGTTGGATAGGCAATACATAAATGATTCGCAGTTCACCAGATTTCGGACCTGACATCGAAAGGCTCGAGGCCGACAATCCGTTCCTGATCACAAATGGAGACCAAACGTCATTCCGCTTGACTTTTGGCACTTGCTTTGACTACTGATACCCGTTTCTAGGCTACTACCGCCTGTAAAAAATTCGGCCCATTCGGATTGGGTAGGGGGACGACCTGGTACACATGGAACTTCGAATGCTCGAGTTCCTCGTGCATCTTATGGTTCGTCGAGGGGATTACAAACATACCATCTAACCTCTCGCAGCAATGGCTATGTCTACGCAAATTCTCCACCTCGAGTTGCTGATTTATTTAGCTCTATCGAAGATCATGGCTTTCCACGGAAGTTATATTCTGACCCCTTCTACTCCAACAGAGAGGACGCCCCTGAAAGACCGTGGGAATATGGGGGTCTTGTATATAATCTGAAGGGCGGTGGAGGCATAGACTTGTTGGAGGAGTGGCAGACAAGTGAAAGATTTCCAGCCCTCACATTTGCTGGTAAGGCATCCGCAAACCGCGTCGGAGGATGGGAGTATGCGAGCTGCGCACCAGCTTGTCGACAAATTAAGGTTTGGTTAAAAGGCCACCCCCTCTCACAGGGAAAGAAAGCGAAGATGCAATCACAGGTGTGTTGCCTCGTGACATCTTCGGACCTATTCATCTCTACCCTAATTGTGATGGTTTAGATTGAAGGGCGCACTCAAGCTAACTTGTTTGGGGTGAATTCGGACCCTAAGATATCTGCGTGCAACAACACTCGTAGGGGACAGCACATGACATTACTTTCTGTAGAAGTTTTCGGTAGGTCATTATCGAGGTTATGCCGTCACTCCGACAGATATATCCTGTTTCCAGCTCCTTCTCGCAGCAACTGCCTACCCGATGCAAATATCGACGGAATTGCAGCTCTATTTTACGCTTTTGGCAGTGATGATCCAAGCTCGGGTCTTCTTCACCAAGGCATTTTCGTCCTTGAAAGTGATCAAACCAACGTACAACGTTTAGGCGCACTCTCTTTAGAGAGTTTTGCTAGTGAACTTGACCTTATCAATCGGTTGATCGATGTTGTCATTGACCTGGATCCCGATATTCTGTTGGGTTGGGAGGTGCAAGCCGCTTCTTGGGGTTATCTCAATGCCCGGGGGAACCATTATGGTCGGTCCTCTTTGCCTAACCTAATTCCCTGCTATACTGACTAATTACAGGATTTGACTTGTGCGAGTTAATATCGAGGGCACCAAGTCGCGAATCGGGGAATGACAATCGACGTTGGGACCAGACGTCAACGACCACATTTAAAGTCGTTGGCCGTCACGTCTTAAATGTCTGGAGGATCATGCGGAGTGAACGCAATCTGAATGTATACACATTCGAAAATGTCGCGTTTCATGTCTTACGGAGGAGGTAAACCGGGACAACCTTGCGCATTCCTTTGCTGAGAAACTTCCCTAGATTCCCCCGTTATAAGCCATATACACTAACAGAATGGTTTAATAGCCCTGTTCCAGCTCATACCTCCCGTGTCTTACGCTACTTCGCCGACCGTACATCAATGAATCTCGATATACTGGAAGAGACAGAAGTCATTACGAAGACAGCGTAAGTAATTCTAACTCTGACTTGATAGACAGGTTGTGACAATTTCAGTGAGTTTGCTCGTGTGTTTGGAGTCGACTTCTATTCCGTCATTAGCCGGGGGTCCCAATTTAAAGTGGAATCTTTCATGTTTCGTATAGCGAAACCTGAGTGTTTCGTGCTCTTGTCCCCAAGCAAACAAGATGTGCGCCCTTCAATTATGGCACTCGAACGAATCATATCTAAGTGAATGCATAGGTCGGGAAGCAGAACGCCGCGGAATGCGTGCCTCTCATCATGGAACCGTTGTCTGGGTATTATAACGGGCCACTCGTTGTCCTGGACTTTCAGTCACTTTACCCGTCTGTTATGATTGCATACAATTATTGCTACTCGACCTGCCTTGGACGGATAACCGACTTCCAGGGCCGAAATAAACTCGGTGTAACGGACCTGCACCGACCTATTGGGCTACTAGACAAGTTGCAAGATCACGTTGCGAGTGCGTTGTTCCATGGCGGCTGTGTGCACGGCGATTCAATTATCCCGTAGTTGCGCCAAATGGTATTATCTACGTGAAGCCGACGGTGAGGCAGGGCCTCCTGGGCCGTATGTTAACCGAGTTGCTGGACACTAGAGTGATGGTGAAGCAGGCCATGAAGAACGTCAAGGATGACAAGGTATGTGTTTCCTTCAAAACTTCTGTATCTAGAAGTTCACCAGTCGTTAGGTATTGCGTCGTACACTGGACGCTCGTCAACTTGGTCTCAAGTACATCGCGAATGTAACCTATGGATACACCAGTGCCTCATACTCGGGACGTATGCCTGCGGTTGAAATTGCGGATAGTATTGTGCAAAGCGGACGGGAAATATTGGAGAAGGTAGGTTGATCAACCATCCGGGATTAAGCAAACTTATCGGTGTTCGAGGAAGGCTATCAATGTCATCGACTCCACCGGTAAATGGGGTGCCCGTGTGGTCTACGGTGATACGGACTCTCTTTTTATATATCTCAAAGGAAAGACGAAAGAGCAGGCTTTCAGGATTGGTCAGGATATTGCGGATACGATAACTGTAATCAACCCAGCACCGATAAAACTGAAGTTCGAGAAGGTAAAGCAGGCCGTTCTCTCTCAGAACCTTGAGTGATATTGGGTTACAGGTGTACTTGCCTTCTGTTCTCCTGGCGAAGAAGAGATATGTAGGCTTCAGTTTCGAGACATTAGATGTCAAGACACCTTCTTTCGATGCAAAGGGAATCGAGACCATCCGTCGTGATGGCGTCGCCGCCCAATCAAAGATGACAGAGGCTTGCCTAAAGTGAGTAGATGTTGCAGTGTCGTTAAAGTCCTGCGTCGATTGATTGGCTACGGAGGATATTGTTCCGTACGCAGGATTTAAGTCTGGTGAAGCAATACTGCTGTCGGACCTGGTCCAAGATTCTACGCAACAAGGTTTCTTTTCAAAATTTTATCTTCGCAAAGGAGGTCAAGATGGGTACTTACAGGTATGAAATATACTGTGTGGAAATCAACCCGCCGTTAACGCATCCCTGTTAGCGAGAGAGGGCCGCCACCGCCAGGCGTAGCAGTAGCTGCTAGAAGGATGTTACATGATCCAAATGACGAGCCTCAGTACGGCGAGCGTGTCCCCTACATAATCGCACGTGGCAATCCCCATAGCCGATTAATTGAAAGGGCTGTGACACCAGAGGAAATCCTTGCCAATCCGTGCGCGATCAATGTGTGCTAACTCTTGGGTCACTCACAATCTTCACAGTCACTTGCAAATCGATGCAGTGTATTATATCGAAAAGGTTCTTATCCCTCCACTAGAACGTATTTTCAACCTTGTCGGTGTAGATGTACGAGCCTGGTATGAGGAAATGCCAAAGGCGATTGAAGTCGATCAGCGTGATCCATTGGCATCTTCCCCAAAGAAGCTAAAGACATTCACAACTAGTAGACTTAACATCGATGAACATTTCTCGAGCACGCGTTGCCTGGCATGCAATTGTCCAGCCTTTGTAGAAGGTTGGTTTGTATCTGATACTAGGGGATGAATGCTGACATTCACCAGGAATTTGTGAGGACTGCCAGAATAATTCTCAAGAAGCCATTCCCAACCTCTTACGACGGCTGCACAAGGGCGAAAGAAGACTTCTGGACACCCACAAAGTATGTGCGACCTGCACGGCCAATGCATTGGCAGAACCGATCGAATGTGTCAACATCGATTGCCCTTGGTTATACGAGCGCAATAAAGCGGAACGAAAAGTAGACTTTCTCGAGGGACTGCAAGCAGTGGTTGAAGACCTTGATTTCACGGACAACGAAGACATCCATTGTACAGAACTTTCCCTGTAGCCTGTATATGGCACACTTGTATCGTAGCGAAGTATCTTATGCGCTTTGATATGCCCCAGTTTGTAAGGTGGGTTGCGAAGCAGCAACGGTGCTAGGTCTTCCAGCAGAGGCAACCCGCGGAGGACTACGAGGTTCGTCATCAACAGTCTGGTAACCGTCACGACCCATAGACGTGAAACCACCAGGCATGGACCAGACTGCGGAGATCATAAGTACACGATCGACAGTGCAAGGCAAACATTACCCGTTGCGCCACCTATATCCGTCCCGAGTGTAAATTGTGTCCCCCTTTGGCGTAAAGTGAAAAGGAAGACAACAGTCGTAGGAATCTGAATGTGGTTTTAGTATGAGTGATTCTACCAAGGGTGGCTGCGTACCTTCAGCAGGAAGAGTAGAATAGTCAACAATTTGACTAGGACAGGTTGCGCATTGGTGAACATCCAAATTAGATCATAGAGAATGGAGACGGCGAGGCACCCGGTGAACTGTTCAACAATCAAAGCTCATTGTTAGGTCGACATAGGTAACCTGAGGCGCACCACCCTGAGAGATTGAACCGCGTCATTGCTTTCTTGAGCAAAAGTTCCGAGCAAGAAAAGTGGTAGGTTGTAAGGAGGAGCAGAAAATGGGCTGATGGCGAAGGAAAGAACCTAATGAACCCGCAGGGTTTAGGGACGCGCAGCGGCTCAGCGTGGAAACGAAATCCATACCGTCCCAGCCAAGACCAGCTTCCCCGGATCAAGGCCTTGGACAAAGTCTGCCATCTCGAGGATAACCTGAAGCTGAACGACTAGTGGATGGTGTGTGCTGGGGTGTGGTATGTGTTACGGTGCTGCGGGGGTTGAAGCTACATAAGCCCGCAACCCTGAAAGTGCTTTTTCAACTCCAAGCGCTCGTCTGCTCAGATCGTTAAGGGGCCTGCCCAACTCGATACTCAAGTTCAAATGTCAAGCAACCGTACAAAAGGACTACAGAACGGCGTTCCAATGCTACATGATGACGTCGGACTCGACAATCCTTGAAATCAGGTATTGTTGGGTGTGCGAGCTCTAAAACTCTCCCATATGGCAATCGTACTGGAAAAAAAAAAAAAAAGACCACTGAGCATTCTGCACGACCAATATTATTTATCAGGAATCAGGGCGGTCGTTCCAATGAGGCGAGGAATCTCGTCGGAAGTCCTCGACTGATGAGATGACCTTATTAGCGTGGCTCGGTTTGCGGGCTTTCGTTGAACCACGTGATCAACCATCATGCATAGCTTTTACTGTAACTGAGAACATTTGTCAAGTATTTCATTACTGGCTTCCACTGTCGGCATCAGCTCAAACTGCGAAAGCTCTACTGGTCTCCGTGGGTCGCAAGACGTTAGACGTCGTGTCGCCTTATCTTGAATGGAAAACAGGGCGCACTAGTGGCCCTTTTCCTGCGATCATGTTCCCCCTTCGGTCTTTCATCGACAAGTTTCCGCAAGTCTGGCACGACTCGCTGGATATGGCATATCTAGCACAAAGTGTCGCGGTGCATGTTGTGAATTCTGAGATATCTATACCCCTTGGGATATTCATCGGTTTGATGGCATCCTTTATCCAAAGTGTTGGGCTGGCAGTGCAACGCCGCAGTCATGTCCTCAACTCTCAGCTATCGGAATCGGAACGGAAAGCAGAGTATCGACGTCCGTGAGTTCTTCCGTAGCAACGCTGACGGCCTCAATCTCATATTCATTCGCATAGCCTGTGGCTGCTTGGTTTTGGTGTGTCATTTGCATGAGCTGTGCTGATCCGCTCGAACCAGCTAACTTCTCATACACCACGTTGTAGTGGTCTTCATCACCTCCAACATCCTTGGATCGTTGGTGCAGATCGCATCTCTGCCCGTTGTCATACTCGCACCGCTTGGTGCAGTCTCGCTCCTTTGGAATGCCCTTTTTGCGCGTCTGCTTCTGCGCCCGCCTCTCATTCTTGGAACGGCATTGATCGGGGGTGGCGCCGCGCTTATCGCTGTGTATGGGATCATGCCCGAGACGACACGTGGTCTGGATGAGCTTATTGCTCTTTTCGTGCGTCCTGCGTTCCTTGTCTGGTTTTGTGTGGAAGCTGCCTTAGTGGTCGTGTGCCTCATTGTGGTGTGTTCTGTCACTTGGACGATATCTTGATACCCATGTTCATCAGTCATGTGATGGTGCAGACACACGTAGCCGAGTACTCGTTCGCAAGGCGGGTCGAGGTTAGGCCATATGCATTCTTTCAATCCGATGACTTGGACCAACCATTGCCGGGCTCCGCTTCGCTGGCGTCGCCTTCTCTCTCCTCATTGGGCGATCTCCCAACACGTCAGGTGTTCAGTTGCATAGAAGAATCCGGAGCAATACATCATACCGATGAGCGCACACCGCTATTGTATTTTAAAGGGAACGGTGCGCGTTCTACATCTCCGTGCTCGAGATGTTCATCCTCCCAAACTCGTGACTCTGCTATAACAACACCTGCGCCATCTCTTCCAATTGCAAATCGCACTGCACTCCTTCTTGCGTTGGCATATGCTGCCACATCGGGGATAATGTCTGGCCTCTGTCTCATCTTTGCGAAGTCTGGTGTGGAGTTGTTGTTGTTGACGTTGGGTGGATCGAATCAATTCTATAGATGGGAGGCTTGGGCTTTGGTTGGTGGATTGGTCGTATTTGCAATCGGTCAGTTGTGGTACCTAAACCAAGCATTGAGGCTGGCAGATCCTGCCTTCGTGTGTCCATGTGAGTCAGCCTTATATCCACGGACGAGTGTGAGGACGATATACTGAAGAGGTGTCGTGTTACAGCTGCATTTTGCTTCTACAACTTTTCGTCAATCCTGAATGGGCTCGTCTACTTTGACCAACTCAGGCACCTCCCTGGACAGAACATCGTCCTCGTTGTCATAGGGATGATTATATTGCTTGGAGGCGTGTGGACTATTAGTGGTGAGGCAGGAGTAGAACATGTTTGGCTGGACCAGCCTGATGAAGAGGTTTCCGAGGCCGAGGCCCCCACCTCTAGTGTGGACGAGGTGGATACTGTGGAATACCCACGCGGAAAGCAGTCGTGCAGTGATGGAAGACTCACTGCGGTACCGATGGAACGCAACGCGTATTCGGAGGGAGCTCTTGATGGAGCTGCTACTGTTTGGGACATGCCATCGCCACGCGAGGTGTCGCTGCTGTCGGGCCCGAGTCATGCCCTTGGAGGAAGTCTAACTGAGCGACGCCGTGGTGCGTCTCAACGGAAGACAGTCCGCTCATGCACAGATTATGTGTTGCCAAGTGCCAGGACAGGATCTTCGCATCGACAATCCACAACAGAGGTGGAGGCTCAGCGTATGAGTGGGCCTACGTTGAGCGTTCTGCGAACGGGAGTAGGTGGGCAGGCGATATCACCGCCTGGATTGATGATTGGGTTGTCACCGGTGAGTCCCGGGTTTGGGGTAGTGGGAGGAGTGGAATGTGTCCCTCAACGGGGCCACCAGACCACTCGATGGAGAAAGCTGGGAGGGAACAGGAGACGAACTGTAAGTGAAGGAGACCGCACACTATTAGCACGAGGGGAGGGGGGGCCAACAGGAGAGGAGGATCCCAAATGGGGATGGATCGGCCAGGTGATGTGGGGGCGGCGAGCCAATCAGGAGGCGTCGTGATGGACTGCATATCAATGATGGGAGGTTCCTGGAGAACATCCGCTTCCTTCCTTATTTAGCCTAGACAAGGGACCAGTGTAACGGAGTCGTAATGGAATCAGATCTCGATCGCGTCTCCGCCGACCCGCGCCCGGAGCCGTTGCTTCTCCTCCTTCCCCCCGTCTCCTCGCCGTCGCCGTGTCGTCGTTGTAGTTGCATTCCTGACATCACCTACTCAGTAGTAGACAGTCGTCCTCCTGTTCCATGGCGTGCAGCGGGATCCATGGGGATTTCGGGTCGCGTCTGTCATTGCAGCTGCAGAGAATTACGTGACCGATATCGCGGGAGTTTTTTTTTTCAAAGCTTCATTTTCAATGGTGTCTATCCTCATAACCCCAACCCGAGTCGCCGTGTCTCTCCTACACTCTCGTTGAACCCTCTGCTTCCATTCCTTTCGTTTTATATTCCCGCTTGTCGTATGGCATTCATTCCTTTAGCGTATTAGTTGGAACTATATTGTAGGATGAACTTCAACATACAACCGCGACGACCGAGTATGCAGCCCCCAGCCGTCGCTGCCTCCCCTTCCGTGCTCACCATCAGCGAGAAGATGCTCAAGAACAGAGTATCAGACCAGTCTTTCGCCGCTGCCAACAGGAAAGCGTCTATCAAGTCAACCACAAGCGCTTCCCCTCCAAACACGAACCAAAACACTTCAAACCCAAACAACAAATCTCCAAACTCCCACTCTTCGTCCACTACAAACAACATCCCCCCCGACCCAGCCCTCGCCGACGAGCTCGACTATATCACCGTAGCCGTCCCCGACAAGCTCTCCATTGACAAGAACGACCCACCGCGGCCCGTCCGTCAGCTTGATAAGGCCTCTCGCATCCTGGGCATTACTCACAGAAAGTCCATGGAACCCATCCCTGCATCCAACAGAACGTCCATCGTCTCAACCCGCTCCGTGCCAAACACCCCTACACAGCACACCCCAACCCTTCCCCTCACTTCCCTCTACGTCGTCTCAGGTCTTCCCAAGAGCCCTCACACTTGGACACTTGCGGATCCTGATGCTGTCCTTGGCCTTCATCACTCCGAAGGTGCAGTCGCTCGCTGGTGGCGGCCTGAAGTCCTAGGGAGCACAATCTCTCCTGGCGCAGGAGGCGGCAAGAAAAAGAAAAAGGGCAACAAGGGCGAAGAGGTCCTCAAGGGTGCTGGTGCCCTCTCAAAAGCTGAAGTTGCCAAGATGCTCTCAAAAACCCTCAAGGTACGATCATCTATCAGTTTTTCTCTCTTTTCCGTGCCTTACTTCTCTATCTCTCCCATAGCTGTCCTTCCCTCGCGAGATCGAGATCATCGCGTCTACTCTCCAACCAGCTAGCACAGTACACACCTTCACTTTTACTCTCCCCGCTCCTTCCACACCCCTTGCTCCCGTTCCTTCAGACCTAGGCTTACTTCGTTCCTCAGTCCTTACCGCAGATCGCTCCTCAGCGGCGCCCACCTTTGCTTACCCTTATACTGATGACCCGTTTGCCAATGCCCGTCCTTCCTCCGCCTATCTCGGCCCCCCTTCGGTTCTCGCACCACCTCCCACTGCACCTTCTTCTCCGTTATACGAGAAGCAGACGAGCACGAGCGTCGGGAGTAGCGGTACAATCACCTACCACGGTGTCTGCCTTACAGTTTGGAGCCACGCCGACGCTGAGAGAAGTGCTGCTATCCGTCGTACACTGGAGGCCGGCCGTTCAAGGAAGGAAAGTGCGCAGTCCTTGGTTGCATCACGTCTCAAGGTTCTTCGGTCTTCCATCGGGCCCGGGTCGAGCAGTGGCTCCCCAGGGGAGTCCGGGCGCCGCACGGGAAAACGCAGCGGGAGGGGCCCCTGGACTGGAACTGACGGTGAAACCGACGGTGAAGGCGCCGAGACCGACGCCGGTGCTATAAGCGAGAGCGATTTCGACATCGCAAGCACGGTAAATGGTCACGGTCCCGGTGAGAGCACACTGTTCCTTCCAGGAGACACTGTGTTCTGGTTACCCTATGCATTAGGTAAGTGATTATAGCTTTACAGCGTTGTCGTGGCGCTTTGCTTAAGCTGTTTTAGCACTCGTATCCCGGCACCCTATCTATGATCTCATGCGTGATTACCTTACCCTCTCGTGGGCACGCTTCTCAAAAGATGTGCAGTCGCACACTCTGCAGATTTCTAAGATCCTTGCCCACCCTGCTCCTCGTGCCGGGGAGCTCATTAAACTGGATGCTTCTCTAATTCCAGTTCCTGCATCCTCCCGACCTGGCTCCAACGTTGGCTCCAGCGGAGCGGAGAGGTCCGAAGAAACGAATCTGGAAGTTATCGCACGTTTTCCGGGCGGGCTTGACTTTGGCAGGGGACTTGTAGATATTAACTTCACGATGTGGCCGTTGTTCAAGGCGTTAAATATCGATAATATTTTAACGTGTTGCGAGGTGCGTCACCCTTCCAGGGATCCCATCTTACCAGACTTACTTTTCCATAGATTGCGTTAGCACCAACTGGACGCATCCTCTTCTATTCTAGGCACCCAGCGATGCTCGGGGTACGCCTTTCCCTTGATTGTGTGCTAAATTGTTCGCTCATGCAAGGAAACAGACTGCCGTTTCTACTATCAAGTATCTCGTCGAATTGCGTGGCTGGAACGGTATCGCTCTTCCTGCAGTACATGCACGTGATGCGAAGATATACATCGATGACCCCGGACCGTGGATACTCGGTTTGGCCACCGAGGCTAGGTATGCTGTACGACCTGCACCGGAAGTTTGTGTAGTCGATTTGTATGTTTCTCATCGTGCTACCGCAGCATCGAGCTGGCTAATTTTTGTTTATTAGGGACATAAACTATTTGAGCTGCCCATCACCTCCTCCGGGTGTCGTTTCTACCAAGCAGCAGAGAGACAAGTATAGGCTGCGGTTGTTATCTGCCTTCGAACCCCATTATCATCCCGATCATTGTGTGCCATCGTAAGTTCTGTTTGGTATTTTTTGGTTACTGCGCTTATGCGGACTCCTAGTGAGTTTAAAGAAGCCTTTCCTGCAGGCCGATTCCGTCCTGTGTGTAAGGTTCAGGCAAAGAGGGGCGGTGAGATGGCGGCAGTTGCTGACACCATTAAACCCCCCGAATGGTGGCACTCAACAAGGATCATTCAAGCATTCGACGCCGTCCTCGAGGACAAGGTAAGATTACCTCTTTACCACACGCTGTGTGGCGGTGTTCATTACCATCGTAGTTCAGGAAACCGTCCCTTCTTAAGCGTCTGTCCTTTTTTGGCAGTATACGTCGGCCACCTCAACTCACTGCTGCTGAGCAACACATTCAACTCTCCATCCGCAAGCGTGCTACTGCATTTGTCGATGCTCGTGATGACCTTGAGACTAAGATCGGTCGACTCTCCCGTCGGCTTAACTTCCTTATGACTGAGGCTGACTTGTGGCGAGACAAATTCGTGACGTTTGAGCAGTACGCGGAGAGACTGAGTGGCGAGGCTGAGCAACTGAGGAGTAAAATTGGTAAGGAGCAGAGGGAGACGAAGCGGCTAAGTGGACTGGTGTCCATGACAGCTGCCGAAAAGGTGACGTTGCAGCAGCGTAAGTCTGATGGTTGATCGTTATTTATTGAATGTTGACGATTATTGTAGGACTCGCTGAAACCGACAAGGCACACAAAGAAGCTTTGATCGAGCTTCACCGCATGCGCGAGACGATGGAACGCATGGAGGAAGAGCGAGCGGAAATGGTTGCAGAAGTCGAAGCACAGATCGAACGTGCCCTCGCCTCTATGGCTGTTGACGTCGACGAATCTGAATATGGTGGTGAGATTAGTACTCGTCCCGGTTCGCGGATGTCCGCCTCTACTCGATCCGCAAGTGGCGCACGGTCAAGGCGGGCGAGCGATGCTGTGAAAAGCGGTAGTGGCGATGGAGGATCGAGACTGCGCAGCGTCGGGACGGAATCCACGCTAGCGGAGTCGTACGGTGACGTGGACGACACCCTTGTTCACAGCAGAGCCGACAGGGAGGCGAACACTATAACAGAGGAGGAAGCTATTTCCATCTCGCCCACCCGCAAGAAGCGATTCTCCGCAACTCAAGAGGAGATCGTTCAGGATGGAATGGTGGCTGTCGATGAAGGTATCAGTGAACGTAGCGATAGGATAGCACAGAAGGTCCTGCAAATTCAACAAAAGGTACGTGTTCCACTCGGTTACTACTGCAACCGTTGTTATTCACTGCTCGGTAGCTGGAGAACGCGCTAGCCTCAGAGCGTATTCAGGACTGGAAAAATAAATCGCTTGGCCGTCATGCGTCGGGTTCGGGCTATGGCACAGACGATCGTGCGGAAGAAAGTTCCGATGCCGCAATCCCAGTCCGTGCACACCCTCCTAGAGGCACTAAGCTCGTCAACCACCCTCCCACGAGGGGAAAGCGTAGGGAACGCAGCGATACCAGTTCAACGAGTCACACAGGCTCGGCTACGACTATCACGCGGGGTTCTGTTGACATTGTCTCTACCCCTCGCCGCTCACCGTCGTTAAACCGCGAGAACCCCCCTGACCATCTTGAATCCGAAGCAACTGGGAGCGTTGCAACTGAAGATACTATGACACCGTCGACGGAAGCATCGTCAATGCGCAAGGTCACCTCTGGTGCCTCTTTGGGTGCTTTGTTACCTGAAGCATTTGCTACAACACCGACCACACCCGCACTGACGCCCGCCTTATCATCCACCACAGATGACTCTGATACCGATTTCCAAAGCGCCTATTCGACTAGCCCACGCCACAGCTACGGCAGTTTTGACAGTAATCACGCTGCAGTCAATGAGTCGGACGACTCGGGGAATGCCACAGATCGCACTGGGGAGAAACACGTAACCGAGTTTACCAAGCTGCCCGTAAGAGAACGTCTCTCTAGTACGGCAACAGCAATCCTTCAGGTGCAGCCGAGTCCAACTTCTAGCGACGTTACCGTCGCATCCAGGGCTCGTGTCCCCTCAGCGCGCCGCCAGGACACAACTGTCTAAGCAATTTCAGATACCCCATGCTCTCTTTGTTAGATTATTATTATTCTTCCAATTTCCAAAGTCACAGTTAAACTATTCCGCTCGCTTGCCCGTTTCTATACATTTTTTGTAGTGTCACAAATATCCATCTCCATGCAGCTTACTATGACCCGAATTTGCAATGGAACAGGATTGGATTGCTATATCACAGTGCGTGCAGTTGCGGTCCTTATACATGAGTGCCCTAACTGTCCATTCTACGACGAGCGTTGAAAGCTTTGACTACGGAAGAGATTTGTCCAAAGAACCAGACGAGTGTATCTTGATCGGGTATGAGAACGAATCTGTCATAGATCCTGCCTGATTTATGAGAGAATCGTACGCCGTTGTCTTCGACTGCGACACCTTGGATATCGGAGAAGGGCAAATCCCAATCAAGGCGTAGTCTCCTCGATGTGAACGAAAGCACTCTTGACGTGGTTAGCAGGACGATAATGTCGCCACCTGGTAAATCTGCATTGCTCAACAACTACGTACCACTTGTCGAAGCATGTGCTTACCTATGTGGGCAATGTATGACTCACTGCGGTACGTGCCGTTTTCCAGGTCTCTCATCCAGTACTGCCCAAGAGCTTCGCGATGGGAATACGGCTAGGGAAATGAGATACCAGAAACTGACGCAGAAGAGAGTGGACTCACTACCATCACACCGTCAGGTGGGATATGCCTCGGCTAGTAGATATTAGGTTACTGAGGACCCTGCATTTACACAGATGGTCTTACCAAGCGGACCCGATCGAGCTGTGGCCTATCAAATACGGTGGTGGTGTTGCGAATACCTAGCAGCGTGTTCGAAATTCTACTACTACCGTGTGTAGCAGCCGCTCTTACCTTCCGAAAGATTTGCAGCAAGGTCAAACACGCCTACGGCAGGCTTCGTAACAGCACTGTTCGAATTCCTGTTGAAACAAAGGCGATAAGGATCTGGAAAGCAGCTTACCCAACTAATCCCTTGCCGATGCCTTTGAAAAACCCTACCGCTCCCTCTGTTTCAGCTCCCTGGATTGGTTTTGTCTATTGAGAATTAGGGTAAACACGCATGAGGTACCTCAAGCAGATTCCTGCGTACCACGATGCCTTCTACCGCACTGAAAACGCTATTTGCAAATGCTTCACCACCGGCAGTGACACCGTATCTAGCAGACTTGCTGATCAGTTAGGGCAGAATATGAAATCGAACTAGTCCCCACATAACATGGCGAGGTCTATTGCGCCGCTGGGACACTCTGCGTTGTGCCTGATATTCCGAGTCAAACGTCGCAGCAGATAATCCTGAGCACTTGTCAAGTTGTAAACTGTAACAACACCGAAAACATCTTACCTTTGCCTACACTGCTTGTAAACTTGGTAACACTATCAGATAGACCGAAAACTGTTTTCTTCACGAAACTCGCAGCACCCTGTAGAAATTTAAACCAGGCAAGGAACAGTGGTTAATGTCATCACCTTGGCGATGCCGATGCCCAGTTCCTTGTTGCCGTGCATGACTACGCCATGATACGGGGCATAGAAAATGTCTGCAACGCCAGAGCTGACGTTCGTGAATAAGCCAACCGGGTTCCCGATGAAATTAGCTGAGCCCAATATACGATAGAGTTGTCGTAGTACGTCTTGTCTGTAGTGGTAGGCTATGCGGGTTTGGAGTTCTGGGGGTGTTAACCGCACATCTTTTATAGCGAGCGCATTAAACTCCAGGCGTGCATTGTCGACGTTCCCAAGTGTCATTGTGAGTGCATTAATAACCACAGCAAGCGGGTTCCTTATGCTGAGCCTGGACGAGCAGCATGAATTACCGCGCCTGCCAGAGAATATGCGACGTACTTTTCCTCACTACTAACCCGTTCTGTCCGTGTGAAAGACAACGTAAGTTGGATTGGCTGCAGTTCCAACAGTTCGAAATAAACTGCTCTCCCAGAAGCCGTACTTTGAGGCTCTGGAATTTCGTCTGGATAGTGAATCAAAATACTGGCAAATATCACATGTCTAGTAATGGTTCCAAACGTGAGTTGACCTGATCAACTCACTCTTCAGATTCGACTTCCCATGACATGCCCTTTGCATGAACAAGATCGTATATCGAAAACAGGACGTCCTCGTCCGCTTCGATAGTCAGAGCTTGCAAAAGAATCGAACAATACTTGACAAACAGAACACCGTGCTCTTGAGTAATACGATGAATAGAAATCAGAATCCATAAATAAGGGATAACATACCTTGGTCTTTCAACCAGACAAGCGAGGCCTGAATAGTTGGAGGGGCACCTGCCAACCCACGGGCCTCCTTCGCAATAGGAGTGGGCTGAAGAATTACAGGATACACTGCCTCGTGTAACTGGTTGTCAATCCGAATGGAACCGCATGAGACGGTGACTGCTTGGGAATTTGGGTTCTCATTGTATTCCAGCTCCAAAGAATCCAGTGAGATGTAAACCACCTCGACTACCTTGCGGTTCATAAGTGATATACCTATCCCGGAAAGATCAACAATGACAGTGACGATGGAAGTCAGATCTTCAGCCACTGCTTCGAAAGCTTCTGTGCTTGCTAGTGTATCCGACCGTGAGAGCGATTCGGATTTTGTATGTTTGGGCTTAAAGATACTGCGTGCCGCGACGTACGGCGTAATGCGTAAGACTTGCTTCTGCCCCTCTGCACGCACGTCTAACGACACAGCACGAGTGCGATGTCGGTCCTAGATAAAATCAAAAGATGGCCCTCAATATGCAGAAGTGTCCAGCTTACGCCGCGGAACTTGAAGGGCAAAAGGACACCGATTTCCATGATATCAATTATTCGACGGGTGTCATGTATCATCAGCATCAGCTTTTTTTCTTTCGCCGCCGGTTGATCCCAAGCATAAGGTGTTCTTGAGTGGGGAGCTACTTTGTACCGAGGGAAGGTGGATTTAACTGGGGTAGAATTGGATTCGTTGCGGTTGTCGTCCTGGTAAACATCAGCACTGTCCGATTGTGCAAAATAATCCGGTTACCCATTGGCAAATGATAATTGTCTCGTCGCATTGGTTCTCGACCTCGAACGGCCACCCGTCACTTTTTGAAAAAGTAACAAAAATGATTGAGCCGTTCAATTTGATGTCGGCTGTTATAATTTCCAACCCATTCTCATCTACTGGAAGGCGGAGGTGCACGACGCCTATGTCTTCTAAACCAATGGGGGCGGACCTGAAAAGTTACTCTTAGGACAACAAGGGCAGCTTTTGGCGCCTACACCCACCACCGTGCATTCAGTCCAGGGCGAGTTACTGTGAGAAGCCTTTCTTGACCAGCACGCATGATCTGTAACGGAATGCGTTCACCGGGGTTGATTACGGCCCGACCACGAGGGACGCCTTGGTACTCGCGGACTTGCAACGGCTCAGGCAAATTATTTTTCAGCAAGAACCTAGGCGCAAGCGTGATGACCTTCGTTAATTTGTATTTCCCGAGGCCTTCCATCCACGACAACCCAACGTGGTATTCCTCGTTTTTCTGCTTCGAGGATGGCACGACTAGTCTCGTATCAGCGGCCGGGGCTTCGAGCCCTATCACCTGCATGAAGGGGGGTTTATCAGCACGCGTCCACGCCAAGCTGGCGAGACCTACATTCGACCAAATCGAATCCCCGACTTGAAAGACAAATGCGTGACCATTGTCATGCGGGTGGGACAACACTCAATAGGGGTAAGCCTACGGTGGAAATTGAAGTAAGTATGATTGCCTACAAAACGGTGTAGAGGTCTTAAGGATTTCTTTGGGCGTGAGAAAAGTAGGTTAATCCGCGGTGAGTACAATAAAAAGGAACTATCATACCCGGTCGGATGTCACCAGCCACTTCGATCGGTGAGCTGGCACGGTTGGAACGAACGCCTTTCACTCCGAATGGCATCCCAGTCTTGTTTACAATCAAGTAAGGTGTGTAGATTTGAACTCTGAAGGCACCGCCAGATTCGGGATAACGCCTTGGAATTTGTAGTGGTGAATTTCACGATGCAGTAATTGAATAGAAAATTCGTACACATAATTGAGTCTCAAGTGTAGCTCCCTATTATTCCGGTCACGAACAGTTAAACGTGATTCAATGTCAAACTCCAGCTGACTATCGGCATTGATTATGGCAAATTCACTGGCCGAAAGGACTGGCGCCGAAGTTAATATCTTGCTGACCCACAGCGACAGGCTACTCACTGGTATCTTCCACCTTCACGCTGAGGAGCACTAGGTGTCCCAATTCTACTGAATGCACGGGCATAATGCCACCTTTGCGGAGATAGCTCGTCCAGTTCGTGTTCGCGTGCTTATCGAAGATTCGATATTGTACATTATATGGTAAGAGGTTCTCCAGCTCGATAGGTGCGCGCAATTTCAGTGTGATTTTAGGCGATTTTCTATAAACTCGTCAGTTAGGCCTGGGATCAAGTTTTAGAGTTGGTTTACCGTGTGGCAGGTTCACTCGGATCTGTTTGTACCCAAGCTTGAAAGCGGAAAGGAGCCTCCTTGGAGTCACTGTGTGGGCAGTGTATTGTCAGAGACCTTTTCGTCAGAAGGTCATCGAAGCGAAGGGAGGAACACCACTTGTAGCCGAATCCTTCTATAGATGACGTGAGCTCGCAATGGTGTGGAACAGATGCGGCTCTTACGATCAGGCTGTAATCTGACTCTGTTTCGTGCGACGGCTTCGATCGGCAATGCATAATCCTGGCCAGGTACTTGAAGAATGTGAATATCCGAATTTAGACAGAAAGAGACACTAACAAATCTTCTCCAGTGAGTATACTGGACGGCCGCTGGTGTCAACTAGCATGAGCTCCAAGGGATAGAATGTTTGATTCGCCACCAGGTAGGTCGAGCGCAAAGTCACCACCTTGACGTTGTTCTCCACCGTGATGGCGCACAGCAGACGATCAGTATACTTTTCCTCCCGAGGTCGCAAGGAAAAGGTGAATTCGCCCTCTCTGTCAACAGGTATGCCTCGCACTGCATCCCAAGGCTTTCCAGCTATTTGTACACCGATATTGTGTTGCTCATAGACTGTGACATGCTGAAAGCAGATATAGTAAATTGGGTCGCAGGAGATCTCCTACTCACCTCTCGCATAGTCTTCCAATCATCAAACCGCCAATCAATACTCCCATTGTGAGACACTTTTACCGCACTACCCTCTGTCAAGGGAACATTGGCCCCGTCGTCCGACCATACGAACAGCTGGAAGCCTGTGCGATTTCGGATGCGGTACGGTGCATAACTCCCTCTAGCTCGTTGTAAGACTCCTTCACCTTCCTTGCCCAGCATCTTCATAGAAGCAAGGGCAAGCTCAACGAATGCGGTGCTGATATTGAGATCAAGACGATCGCGAGCGGTGAGCGAGACTTTAAAACCGTCCGAGAGTTGTTCTTTGGCTACCTACAACAGAATTAGCATGTACGCATCGGCGAGAGGTAGCACAATACCGATAGAGTAAATCTCCAAGGATCGATTACTATGCAGGACATCAGTCGCTATCACACGGAACGTGGACAAGGGCGTACATGGCTCCCAGTGTGAATTTGTCAAATTCCAGAAATTTATGTGGGTGTTCACAATCATCGCAGCGTTGAACTGCAAATTCTGTGTAAGGAGCAGTTTAGAACCTAACCAGATATCTGACCTCAGAGGACCAATCCTTGAAGTTCACCACGAAGGGTTTCAGGCTAAGATCAACCATAGGCTGTTCGTGCATGTCTCCAATCAGGATTAGGCGGAAACCACTAACAACCGCTTTCATCTGTGCCAGTTGAGCTGAACAAGCTAGGCAATCACGGACAATTCATACCTGTTCTTTAGACATCATCAGACGTGCTTTGCCCACTACCCTGCTCGAACGCGATCGGGATGCGTCGAACTGCATTACCATTGACTGGCTCTCCAATGATCGACCACTGTCGTCTAACTTCTTTTCCTGGGACTTTCCGTACAGTCGTGCAGCTTTCGTAGCAATTGCAGTGATAAGGAGGATATCACGGTAAGATACGCGGAAGACGATCGGGTTGGCTGATATTTCAACATTTAGTAATTGCTCTTGACTTGAAGATCGGCTCTCGAGTGACAGAGTGAGATCTACTTCATCCAAAAAACGCACGGCGTCAGACTCGGCTCCCATCTGAATTAAGGACATCCCGAGTTTGCTTATGGTTAAAACCGTGGTGAACTAATTCAATTAGCACCCTTGTCGTGTAACCTATCACAGAACTTGCCTGTTGACATAACAGAATCTGGTTAATATATAACTTGATAGCTTGGGAATGAACATTGAAGTCATCCTCAAGAACACTGATGGAAACATCATGCAACTCCAGACGAACTGCATTTTCAGAACGCGGAGTAGACAGTCGAGATTTATCATCGGCTGCATCTCCATCGTCGATCGGAGCTTGTGGTGCACTGGTAAAGAAGGAAATCAGCGCGATCAAAGGCTCGATGGCAAAGATAATGCGGGGCGAATCCACCGTCACGATCGTAAGGGACGAGGTCCCCGAAGACGTGTACAAAATCATAAACTGGTTGCGGTGATGGTCGGCTGCAGGGATAATTTCTCTAAACTTGGATGCCCCTGCTCTCGTGTCGTTCATGGTAAAGGACTTCAATACGACTTGCGCCTCTAAAGCACCATCGGAAATAGACTTGTAGCGGAGGGTGGTATCGTTCAAGGCAAGACGGACTATTCCGTGATTCCCGAGGGTTGCTTCGGTGCTAGCCGCTGTGTCGTAGAGATGAAGCCTGATCACATTCACTGATGCCACCAAATCGATGACTGTCCAAGATCGAACTTCGTCGACGGCGGAGATCCGAACCTCAGGCTCCAGATTCACCCTACCGGGTCGTTCGCTCGACAAACTCTCGCCGGCTTGGTTAGAACTGGGCGACATCGTAGAGTTCATGTCAGCGATGGTATCAGAGGCAAACACTCTTGGTATCGATCGCGAAAGTTCAACGAGAATCCGATATTGGTCCTGAGTTAGATGCAACTTGACATCGGACACTTTGATAGCCACCTTAGAACTGTTGTTAAAGCTGCTTGCTGAGAAGATTAAGGGCGCTCACTTGTATATCAGGACTGACAGTTTCCAGAGGACGGTCGTTGGCTGTACCCTGCAATACGTCTGCAAAGATATCTATGTCATCAACAATCTTCAGCCTTGAAAGCTTCCCGTCCCAGTGAAACTCTGATGCGAGCTGAATGCCCCGGAGACTTGCGATGATTTTGTTCGAGTAGCCTTCGTAAGAGTTACGGGCAGTGATTTCGCCAAGTCGCATGATCAAGATATCAGGAACTCGTGCGGAGTCGCAAGGAAAGACGATGATAGGTGTCTTAACCGACACCTCGAATTGTAAACGGTCAATTTCAGACGCTTTCTGAACCGCTGCATCACGGGCAGCGTCGTAGAGGACCTTAAGTTTGGCAAGTTTCACTGCAAACAAATAAATGTCACGAAGCGGTTGCTCGACAAAGTGGACTCTGAGGGAGCCCGTAGTGAGGTGGATAGATGAATTCACACCGGCAAGGTCCGCTTCGGCGGGGTTGTATGTTCGATATTGGAACTCGGCAAAGTTCTGACCTTCAATGGATAGAATTTGCTTGAACCCCGGTCGACAGACGTCGACGGCACGATCATCACTCAAAGCAAGGCTCCCTAGCCTGCCCGTGACGGTCATCGCGCCAGACTCCACCGAGACGAAAATATAAGCTGTCGATAAACTAAGGGTTGCCAGACTGGAAACATCGTCGATCAGCATGACTAGAAATTGTATCGTTAATATAGTATATTAATCCCAAGGTGGTATCACGTACTTCGTATACTATCCAAATTCACTGTGACGCGTGTAGCGCCGCTTGTAACTGGGTCGACGGCGTGATCAGATCGCTCCGGGTTCATCTGAATAGTCGGCAGGTCGTCGTCCTGTTGGACGAACGTGCTTATGATGAAGTCATAAAAAGAAATTACAGGCTCTGGTACGGCCCTGAATATGAATGTGGACAGACAAACGTCCACACACTGTTCGATGTCGTCGTATGCCGCGAGGAAATCTTGAGATGCCTGTTGAACACGCATATAGGAAATGGACAACAGATCCTCATCCCCGCGACCTTCAGCATGGTCTGATGACACCAACTGTAGTGGTTCTCCCTGAGTGTGGGCAACATTCATTGCCATACTCCTGTGCAGTTATTAGCTTCTCTGGCAGAGGATTGGCAAAAGAAGTTCACCTCAGCTTGATGTCGACCCTAACCTTCAGCTCGAGAAAAGAGCATGCCAAGCGAAATCGCTGGAGAGTAAGATCTCCTAAGGCTTTTTCGTACCTATCGCCATAGGACTTTAATATGGTTGCACGCAGCTCGTCCACAGCGAAGTCCAATTGAAGGAAACGCTGTTGCACGGAGTTTTTCTCGTTCTACTAAATAAGAAAGGTGGAGAATAAACACGAAGCACGCGTACCTGCAACATTTCAGCTCTTGCTTTTAAGACGTCTGCTTGGGTGCTTGGTCTATCTTCCTCATCAGACTGGGAATCCTCGATATTGTACTCCGGGTCTGAGTTGAAAAGACTTGCGGACGGGGGGAACACCACGGATCCTTTATCAACGCGAGCGGTTGTGTCCTGTGAGTCATCATCCAGGTTCGGGATGCCAACATCGATAAGACGCATGAGGATCTTGTACTTTGCGTCGGAAACATTAATATGAAGGTTGGGAAGTTTCCCGGCCACCTTGAAGCGAGCCAGGGCGACTGCACTGGGAACAATAGTGTGTTGAATCTCCAATTCAATGTTAGTGGGCTCCAGCAAGTGCAGGAAGTCACCCGTTTCAGACACAAGAGCATCTCGACAAGATTGTAAATCATTCCCAATAACGAACTGTGGAACGAGGTCAACCAAACATATCCCTCCAAACGAAAGATAAGGGGGCTACCTGTGCTGCATCAAGACGTAAAAGCACTTTGTCGTACATCACAGATTCCAATCGCCTGTAATCGGCTTCGTCGTATTGCCTGCCCCTTTTTGCCTGTATTTCCCTGAGAATATTTTTGTCCACAAGATTACTCTCAATCGAAATATGACCGGCGTCAACGATGAGGTGACCACCAGAAGTGGAGGTAACACTAAAGGTTGGGTCAGACCTTGACAAGCATCCGTACGGATTTATCGGACTTCTCGGGTATAATAATGACAGGAGCATTCATATCCACGTGGAAGTCAATAGTCTTGTGTGTTTGAAGGGCGTATTCAAGACCTGCACGAGTCTCCTTCCTTAAGCCCTCGAAAGTTTGGCTGGCCACGTTCTGATCATAGTTAATATCCGTGGTAAAGTGCACATATATGACTTACTAGCAACGCCTCTACTGATCCTAACTGACTCTTAGGCGGCCTCAAAAACTTGGTGATCGCTTCAATGTAACCCCTGTGATATATAATTTCCATATGACGCATGCGAGCTGTAAGAGCTGTATCTGCACGCTGATCAAGGGGATTGCTTTCGAATTTGAGGAAAAAGAAGGGGTCATCAGGCTCGCCGTATCCTCGAGGTTTGACTTTCTTTGAATCAGGGTTTTTGACCTGGACGATTTGGGGGTGAGCAGTGTTCGCAGTCGTACCATCGTAAACGCTGAAGCCACCCAAGGAGATTGAGATCTCGAAGTTGTCCGGTCGCTGGACAAAATCAGCACGGAATGAATCAAAATTCGTCGAAATGACGTCCTCCGCATTCCTTCTAGGTTCCGTTTTCAAGGCAAACAAGCCTTTCTTCAGTTCCGCTGCAACGTGTAACAACAACGCATCTCGTGGCACTTCGAAGGATTCCGCAATAGCCGATCTTTCATCATAGTCCAAGGCTTCATAAAGTTGTCTTCGTTGCTCATCCGTCATGTTGCCGCTGAACACGGCGTCCTCTGTAGGCCGGTCTTCCGAGGATGCTCCCCAAAGCCAAGATGTCCAGCCCCGTGATTGTTGTTGTTGGCGCGCACGCTCTTCTTCTAGCTTCTTTCTTTGTGCAGCGTCTTTTCGTAACTGAGATCGAGCTATAGATCTGTAGAAACGAATGTCCTCGTAAGAAAGCTTCGTTTCCAGGGTTTGCAACACGAGAGCTTCCTAAGACCTAGCTTAGACGGCTAGTTATATTTTAGGTGGCAAACGCACGGGTTCCCGCAGTGTATTCATGACCTTCCTTTTGAAGAGTTCAACGTATTTATTGCGATCGTCTCGGCGCTCGGAGAAGTAAGCCCAGTTCCATTTCCAGTGGCGTTCGCGCACTTCGTTCAAAATGGCATTAATAGCAAACTTCAAGTAAGCTCTCCCGCGGTTCCTTGCAATTTCCTCGCCACTCGGTCGATATTTTCGGTACTATACGAAAGCGTTGAGTGATGCCGACGATAGGGTATGATTTGCTTACTTGACGTTGTCTGAGGTAAACTTGGTACATATCCACCAGCGATAGAGTATCGTGGTACTGCTCCTCGTCCAAAGATAGCCCAATCTCATCGAAGAGCAGGCGGACATCGTAGTGGGGAGTTTTGTTGTTCACTCCATGATTAAGCACAATCTTTCGGCAATATGAGCCCCACGAGATCAAATCAGATAACTGCACTTACTCTGCCTTCTCCAGAGACTGGACTTAAGATGAACTGATGTGAAGGGCCCATGTTGTTTAGTGATATCTTGTGCTTGGTCAGAAAATATCACGCAGTTACAACAACGGGCTCACCATAGACTCTAATTTTCCTTGCACCTCATGCAACGAGAGATTGGCCATACTTTGGGAGTCAGTGTCGAAGTACACGGCCAACGACGAAAGATTCGCCAACTAATCCTCTCTGAGAACGACGTTGAGCGCAAACAAAGGGGACAACTTACTTTATGGATTGCGCCAGCTGTACTCTCAATAAATGCGGGTTCCCATTTCTCATTGACAGACCTAACACTGAAACTGGCCAATGTCGCACCGGCAGAGAACGGATGCTATGTTTATTTGTCTGAGCTCGTGCTACCTCTTCAATCAGAATACTCACACCAGGGACACTCATTTTGTCTTCATACCGCACGTGGATATTTTTGACTGTCACTTGCAGATTGTTAACAATTTTGGCTGTTAGGGAGTCCCAGAGGGATTGAGAAGATCTGTCTACTTTACTTCAGCTGAGGATTCGAAGAAAACGCATACATATGAAGCACACCGGGAGTAGCATCTGTTTGGCTCTTCACATGCAACAACTCGGCATTTCTTAGCCGCTCTTGTTTTGCTGCCTGGAGACGTTCCTCTTCTTCCTCAGGATCAATGTCATTTTGAGAGGAAGGCACAACAAGAAGGTAAACGTCTTCTATCAATATCTCCACGGGTCTGTTCCCCAAATTCATCCAATACAGGGAGAGAGTAAATGTGCCCAAGTAACCTGCAGCGAATGGTATGAACAAGGCGTTGAAGAGTCATCGTATCCAAGTACCTTCTAAAACATCCACAGGCAATCTGAACTTATCCAATGCGCCTCTCTTCAAACGCAGATTGCGCAGCGTCAGCTGACCTGGAAACGTATAGAAATGGGTTGAATGTGCCACAGAGAAAACCGTCGCCAAGAGCGCGTCTACCTTGCGCTATTCCATAATTCACTTGGTTCATATCCAGGTTTTCGACATATGGGGCGAGGATCCTGTTAAACACCTGTTGGACTATGTGGTAGTGGCCGCAGAAACTTGTGGCGTCTGGACGTACCACATTCAAGACGTCCTTGCCCGGATCTAACCACCACATCGTGGTCGGGACACTTCAAGACCTGATCACCGGTATTGGTATTGGAGTGAGTGTGCACGAGGAGGAATCCTGACGAGTTCCCTATACCCCAGGGTCGTGGGTAACGTTCGTCATATCATGTGACTAAGGGCGGGGCCACTGCACTATCTATCCCGACGGGACGGCAAAATCCTCGCAGCGGGCTAAACGGAACTTCCCAAAAAGATGATCCCAAATCGAGGAGCAGTGCCCGTTCTTATCTATCTTACAACTTACCTTCGAGAACCGATTCGTCTCTGGGGGCTAGCCACGCCCCAAGTTTGTATGTAAAAGTTAAGTCTACCACAAACCCTGTTCATTAATATGTCCCGTGGACTTCCGTCCGGATCTATCCGTGCGAGCCCCTAGATACTGGGCAACCGAACGGTAGTGCCAGTGCACCCTGCCTTCTTACTCCCCCACTAACTCGCCCCAAAATATGATCACCCTCCTTCCCCAGTCATACATGGAAATGGCCGCCAGCGCCACTGCTAATCAGGAACTGCGACTGAATGAGGTGGGCATTACAGCAATGTGTTAGTCCGGCAACAACTGCATCGTTTGCCTGCAGCTAAATAACCTGACCGACGCGGTAGAGCCCTTTGCGAGGTAAAGATGCGTCCCGACTAACTGCGTACATCTACGTGGTAGTGGCTGACGCCTTCCTCGCGCCACCGGCAGGCTTGCCAGTAGAACCAGCTGTTCAGTCAGGCTACATTGCTCCGTTCCAATGTGGTCTCCGTGCTCTGATACTTGTCAGTCCACCTGTACATGATGTTGTGCTACAACCCATAGTCTCTCAGGTTATGACCTTCATGAGCTCAACGACCTACGGTCACGGTCCCTAGTCTTTATCCACGACCTCTTGGAACTGCTACGTTCTAACGGGGTTAGTTCAGACGATAATAGCTTGCCAGATCATCTATTCATTTCGTTTGTAGATATCGGCATCATACAAACTTGCACCTTCCAATTCCCCACTCTGCTTCATATGCGCGTTGCCGACAGAACTAAGTGTTCCGAAGGTGAGGTCGGCCACAGTCGAGATACTACAAAATGCTCGGGTTACCGCAAGGTACTCGTTGATATCTACAACAATCGTTGCATTTCTTAACCATTTGCCTATAGACAGAAGGTATTACTGGCGGACCTAGAACATGGACCCGCACTTATCATTTCTTGAATGTTTGCACCAATTGATCGTCTCGAAATGCTACGTGTAATTGCTTTCGTCATGTTGCTTGTAACCGAAGCATGTACATATAATACACCCGTTGGGAAATTTGATTTTAGTTAGCAAATAAAACCACAGTGTGACCGTGTTAGAGGGTGACCCTCTGTGATGTGTCACAGACATGTCACGCCGCCGTCACCCCATAACTCTGTCACCGCGGGCGAATTTTTCCTGAACTTGTTGTTCCTCTTCCGCCATGGTATCTCTCGCCGATTTCCTCCTCACCATCCTTCCTACAGACAGTGTCCCTCCGTACCTAAAACGGTGGATAGTCGGCAAGTCCCCTTTGTCAACTTGGCCAGCCGTCGCCACAGCCCTTGCGTTGTACCTTGCTATAATATTTGGCATCCAGGAGCTCATGAGGAATGGACCTCCTCACAAGTTGAATGCTCTCTTCCGTTGTCACAATGCATTCCTTACCATCGGAAGCTTTGTACTTCTGGCTTTGATCGTCGAAGAGGTCACATCACTGTACTTGGCATCCGGCTTCTATAACGCAATGTGCTCAGAATTGTCCTGGACATCTGTAGGTGTTTCAAAGGTTGTCGCCTCTCTTCTCCTGAGAAGGGGTTTATTTCGTTGCACAGAAACTCGAGTTCTATTACTTGGTCAATTACTACTTCAAGTACATCGAGCTCTTGGACACGATTTTCCTGGTACTGAAGAAGAAACCACTCTGTGAGTGTTATCTCTTACTGTGTCAACTTCAGTCACTCACTTTTCATCACCTAGCATTCCTCCACGTCTTCCATCATTCTGCGACGGCTTTGTTATGCTTCACGCAATTGAACGGTAAAACGAGTGTTGTAAGTTGCTCTTATCTTCCGAAACCTCCCTCACTGAGATTTATGTAGTCATGGGTTGTAATCTCTCTCAACCTGTTTGTTCATGTGATAATGTGTGAGTCTGACCGTTTCGCCCCTTTCCCACTTTATTTATAAGGGAGCAGACTACTACTATTATGCGACTGCCGGGGGTGCCAAAATTTGGGTACGTCTATCTGTTCTTGCGATCTGAATTCCTTATATGACGTTGGGCAACAGTGGAAAAGATATCTCACAACGATGCAAATCGTCCAGTTCATCGTTGATCTATTTATTGTTTACTTCGGCAGTAAGTGAGCGCCATAACAATTTTCGCGTTGGTGCTCACTCCGTCAAGCTTACCAACACTTCGCCCATTCGCGCTGGACTTGGCTACCCCACATCGCTAATTGCGCCGGAACGGAGGCCGCTGCACTGCTTGGATGTGGCTTGCTCTCTAGCTATCTCGTGCTTTTCATCAACTTCTACATTCAGACATATGAGAAGCCTGCGAGCGCAAAGAAGCTTACTGTAAATAGCAACGGGGTTGCAAATGGGTATGTCTATTTTCCCCGCTTGTAGCTGGCGCTCATCGTCCGCCAGGGTCAAGCATCACTAAGGGAGTATACTTGGCAGTGACACGGCTTCGTGAACTACTTATACAATGCTTTGAGTTACCCTAATACGTACTAGAACTTTTTGGAGCCGGGAAATCACTGTTTACCCATTCATTCGAACCTCATAGTCCATCTGATCGATTTACTATGTTATTGCCATGCTCTTCTGGTTTGTGGCGTAACCCATTATTACTGTCTATTCCTTGCAGCGTACAAAGGCAAGGGTTTATTTTCGGATCTTCGTGACAGGGTTTTCCATCTGTAAAAGATCTGAATCCATTTTCTGGACAGTTCGTCGCCGTTAATGAGTGTTGTGTTCTGTTAGCGTCGGGCTTTCTTTTTGAGCGAAATATTGTGGTTCCAACCCTTCATCACCAAAAATTGGTAAGCCTGGAAAGCATTTCGAAACTGGATTACATAGTCATTCCACCTGGATTACTACCACAGCCTCATATAAAGTATCACTGCAGAAAAAAAGAAATGGGTATAACTGTGTAAATATGCACCTGTGACATGGAGGAACTAGATGAGGGAATGACATCAAGACCTGATCAACGACCTCGTCTTTATTCCATCCTAAGGGCAGTTTCTACCAGTCTCTGCACTGCAGTAGCCACTTCCTCAGAGGTACTCCGGACAGTTAGCCGACATAACTAGCGGTTCAATTAAGTCCACGCGTGGCAACAGAAGTTAACACTGACCTTAGCTTCACGGTTTGGTTCCAAACGCAGTAAACAGCCAACCTTTCCTTCGACCGAGGTGTGCAGAACAGCAGCACCGACAATGTTGCTAGGATTAGGATCAATCCCATCCAGTATCTCGAAGTGGTTCCCTGAAACAATCCGACGGTTGTGTGGAAGGTCTATATGACCGGCAGCATCCAGGGAAATAGGGAAAACGACCTGTGCTTCTCGGGGGAAACCTCCTATAAGCTTCCACCTTTCGAAAAAGTCAGCCTGCCCGAATTTTACGCCTTCAGAGAATTTAGTAACAATGACTGGTAACCGTATCGAGATAGACTGGTAGGCACCAGCTAGAAATGATACCGTAAGAATGGGAGGGCAAGTGAAAACTTTCTTGCATTCTACTTGCAGAAGTTGTTGACTCTGGGTGCGGGGAGCAAGGACATTCGCAGGTATCTTTGCGAAAGTCGCAGAAAGTGCCGCAGAATCGCTCACGTAAATGGTGGACGTAAACGAAGTGAGCGGCGCGGAGACCTTGTTTCCAAAGTAAATTGCCAACTGTCCCAGGTAACCCTGAAACCTTGATTTGATCCCGATTTGGATCTGAACGTCCTCGTAGAGAACGCCTTCTGCGCTGTACGTGAGCTTCTGATACCACTTGTCGATCGATGGGCCAACGGTCAGCCGCGGCGCAGGGGCAGACTCCCCTGCCTCACTGGGCACGGTCAAATCCAGGCCAGCAAGGGCGTTTAATACGGCCGAGTCTGCAGTCCCGGAGGCGGTAGCAGAATCATTTACAGGCAATTCCGCTTGCTTAGGGCGCACCAAAGTAGTCATTTGTTGTTGTTCGAGGTTTATCTCTCTCCCCCCATGTATCCATGTCCGTTTGTCTTCCGTATCCGTCATTTTCCGATTGAGCCTGCTCGTAAGCCCGCTCACCCTCGGCGGGAATGGAGGCATCTCCTCGCAAACGTTCTGCAACATTTCGTTATCATCCGGTAGACAAGCCAAGGCGTAGTATTCGCATGCGCGTTGTTGGAGCTCGGCATCCAGTACGTGCCGATAGCGCTCGAAAATATTAATGAGCTGTGGCTTTATTTCCGGGAAGACGTTGACCCATTTGATGTAGGTCGATAGTAGGATGGAACGAGTAGGTGCGACACAAAATTGGGATTTTGAATGGAGCACCTGGAATTGCTCGATGGGGCTGTAACCTGGCTCATTTGCAATAAGGTGCCCATACTCCCCCAAGATGTACCCTATAGCTATGATCAAAAGCGATCTAGGAAATGCTGTCCTCACGCACCTCCAACTTTCACCAAACTTTCGTGTACGGATGGCGTCTTTAAGTATTCGAATACGACTCTAGCCGCATATGCTTGCAAATCCTCCGTATTTGTGACGATCTGCACCACTCGATACCAAACTTCCTCCCCCACATGGTCGCCAGCGGCGCTGATAAGTTGCAGTATAGTGTCAACGTACCACTTGTACGAGCTTGCGTATTTCTCGGTGAGAATGGCAATTTTAAGCACCATCTCTTCTCGTAGAACGTAATCGGCCACTTTCAGGTAACGTAGCAATTCGCCGACAATGAGTTCTGAATTGTCGACATCGCACATACTGTACAGCAAGTCAAGCGCACGTCTCCGGACAGAAATGTCTTTGTCACGGAGTGAAAGAATAATAGTCCCCTGGTGTTTCTTCAGGGGATCGAGGGTCTCAGATCGTGCGGCAAGGTGAGCCATAGTGTCTAAGCCAAGGTAGCGGACGTTGGTTTCTTTAGAAGAGATGAAACGAGCCAGAAGGACAGCAGCCGTATCAACCAGGGGGGACCTGGTATCTAGGTGGATGGCAAGACTGATTGCTTCGAATAGCACAGCATTCTGAGCATTATTGTGTTGGACGTTCCTCGAGGGCTCCGCGCTGCTAGTCATGATAGTCTGGAGTGTCTCATTGAGAACATTCTTGAGCGTCATGTCCTCTGTGGCAGTAACATAAGATTGATACGGAGGTGAGAACGGCATACGGACCTGTTGGTGGGTAGTACTGAAGGAGCCGTAAAAGCTTTACCTGTAACCACGGTGCCGGGACCTTGTAATAGGTATATATCCCTGAGTACTCGTGCTCTATCCCGATCTATGGAGATCTCAGCCTATTCGTAATGGAAGATTACTTGGAAACTGAATTTACCCGATGCAATCGGTCGACAGCCTTGGTGTAGCAGACGGCAAAGGCATCCGGATGATCTTGAGCAAGGGCCGTTATTAAACTGGTCACACACAGCACCACGCCCTACAATGCGCTGTTAGCACAAGGGAGACGGCGTGGACCCCAATGAACTCGCCAGGTCCTGATCGTCCATTAAAGACACCAAGCGCAAAGCCCATTCCACGGCAGGAATTACCTCGGGGCGTTTCCTGTAAAGGCGCAGCAGTGTCAATGCCGCCTTTTTCTTTACGAACGTCATGGAAGTTCTGGAGTGCGCTCAGAGAGCAGCTCCAGAAAGAGGCATGTGGCCTTACGGCGAAATTAAGAGCCTATGTACGTCTTCAGCGAGAGCCTCCGCCATCTCGCTACTTCCCACATTTGCTATCGCATGCAGCGCAAGACAGTTATGAACCTCATTGTTCTCGTCGAGGTCCTTTCGGATCGAATTTACTACTAATCGAAGGAAGTCCGAATTCTCGTGCATCAACAGAGTGACGGCCAAATAGCCCTGTACGAGAGCTAAGCTGTTACCGTCTCCAGTGAACGACAAACATACGATCTGCTTTTCACTGTATTTCGAGCTTGAAATGAGATTGACGGCTTCCAGGTGGCCAATATCGACCTTGTACCCCAGGATATATGTGAAGATGATCTTCGCGACATATCTAAGGATGGAGATGAACAAGACGCAAGCAGGTAGCAGTGTAAGATTGTATTCACTTCTTCTTTTGATACCCATCGAGGTTGCCGTCTGAGAAGTGAGAAGTCGCAGTTGTTGGGAAGAAGAGAGACAGCACCATACCTTTGAACTTCTTTCGTATGTTGGCCATCTCCTTGTTAATTCGTTTCTCCTCCAGCTCACGCACTCTGGCGCCGCGGATGTCGGCGATGAACTGGAAACTGGCATTAGCAGGTGATGAAATGTCTAGGGCCCACGCACTTGAGTCAAACCTCGCATATTGGCCGCCATCTTGGGCAACGAGATCCCGAGGACCGGGGTGAAAGGAACTGACTGTTGGAGGGATTGGTTATGGAAATTTGAAACCTGCTTGGCGTAGCAGGTCGAGAGCAAGTTAAACAAACTCGAGAACCCGGGTGACCGTTATGTAAGGCTAAAGTGTGTGGCGTAGGTACACACGGTACTCTGGCAGTTAACATATTACAGTAGTGTAGCTTCACTGCCCTGCCCACCCTATGGAGTACGGTTCTATCAAACAAGCCCCATCGAGACCGATCCGGAGAGTTACGAACACACTAGATTCCCTATCATCTATCGTGCCTTATGGACTTCGCCACAACTCTGGGTGGCTTAGCCTAACTGACCCCAAGCATTTTATAAAACAAGGCTAGAGAGTATCTAAGCTTAAGATTCTATGGAATTTCCTCCCTGCCATCCGCTCGCTCAACGATAGCGAACACATCCAGTGGCATTTATTCATGCATGGAGGACACAAGAGAAGTGGTGTGACATTAACAAGCAAGTACAATACGAAATCATGTATCATAAATGGATGATTTGCAGCTGTTGGAGGGATTGCTTATGGAAATTTGAAACCTTTTGAAAGTCTGCTTGGCGTAGCAGGTCGAGAGTTGTAGACAGACTCTACGTTGTGAGGCGTTGCATACCCCGACCGCGACCCGATGTTCGGAAGTCTACTTGATGAAAAGGCTGGAGAAGCTATTGGGGTGGCAGACCGCGACGTCGATCGCGACTGCGATGCTAGCCGCTCTTCGCTGAACCGGTTCAATATACGGACTACATCCCTTGTAATCATATCAAGATCAGCGATCTCCCTGGGAGACATCGAAAGATCATCGCTGAGGAACAGGTCATCGTCATCCCTTTCATCCGCGTTATCCCTCGTAAGAATCGTCCTTCGTCTCGTTCTTCCTCCACGTTGTTGGTTCACGAGGATGCCATCATATACTCGTAACATGCAGGTTTCTATTAATGCCTTGAGACGCTGGATGTCGTCTAACGCGGCCAAGTTCCCCGCAACTGGAAGCCATCCATCGCATTCCAACCCGCGCTCTGTTACCTCAACGTCATTGGCACCGAAGAGCAGATATGTCATGGGATCCAGGCGTGTCGTATTAATGAGGAATGTCTGCGGGTTTTGCCCGGCAACTGTAAGATTCTGCCGCTTCTCTGCGAAGGCATAAATTTGCTTTTCCCCTTCGAATGCATGTTCCATTTCTGGTCGAATATGCTTGCGATGATTGACGCTACTAGGATGAATGAATGTGGTCTATGTTGAAGTGATCAATCATGATATTACTTGCATAGAAAACCGTGGTAACCGACCTTATCGTACTGCGTACGTAGCGTTTTATCACCTGTCCGGACAGCGAATTTTGGCTGAGACGCAACGGCTATGAGGGCCGCCAGCAGGGGTTCGGAATTGCCATTCGCGTTGAGTGCAGGAGGCACTCCTGGGTGGCGTTCACGGACATGAGACCCGATGCCTTCGGTGACGTCAATGACACCAGCTTGGTGCAGAGACTGAAGGAGGTGGTGTCTGATTTTCCGAATGAGCAGAAGCGTGGGTCTCGAGAGATAATTTTCGCTGCAAAATCTGTTCGCTTGCGTGTAGTCACCAGAGTTGTAGATATCATGCCATGCGTTGTAGGCGTTCAATATCGTCAACGCGTCTGACCGAAATTCAGCAGGGGACCATTTGGTTTTAGCAGCTGCAGCCTCTGATTTAAGATGCATTGGGGACATGAAGGGATCCCGGTTGGTCAGAATTGCAGCGAGAGTAACGGCCTGATCCAAGCAACGGAAGAATACACCGTACAAAGCGAGTCGTCCCATCTGTACCTCTACAGGTAATTGTAGAAGCACGCGACCCAACGATGTCAGATTCTTCTGGTTATCTAAGGCTCCGACCATCTGTAAAACTCCTATGGCAGCTGCGACGCGGTCTGGATGAGGAGGTTCGATCGCCTCTGCAAGAACTTCTTCAACCTCCATGTCAGGTAAGCTCAGGGCTTTGATGTGCATAACAACGTTGCTGAGGTCGACCCGTTTCATTTCCACTGTTTGGTGTGGAGCTAAGGTCGCCGCTCGGGCATGACTTAGAAGTCCATAGTATTCGCCAGGTCGGTGTCGGCCAGCACGGCCAGCTCTCTGGTGCAAATTAGAAGCACCAGCCCATGCTGATGTAAGGGAGGACATGTGTCGACTAGGATCGTAACGCACTTCCTTGACCTTGGCGGTATCAATTACATAGACAACGTCCGGGATCGTAACGGAAGTCTCGGCAATGTTAGTTGCCAGAATTACTCGACGGACGCCTTCAGCGGGAGGCTCGAATATGACCTGTTGTTCGGCGAGAGGTACAGAGGAGTGCAAAAGATGGATGGTGTACTTCATCCCATCATTGAAATCCAGGGGAATGTCGATCCCTTGCAGGACGCGCTGCACTCCTATGATATCCTCCCACCCAGGCAAAAAAACGAGGATATGCCCAGAATCAGACCGCTGAAGGACGTGACAGATGGTACCAGCTATCAACTGCAATGGAGTATCGAGTTCATCGTTAGCCAACAGCGGTAGTAAAGAGGTCGACAGTGGAGGTGGGGTTATCAAGGCAGGGTTAGACTGCGCGTAAGCACCCTCGCGCTCAAGGTACTTAGCCACTGATTCATCATTGAAGATCCATTTCAACTGAGAATGACGCTTGATATCCTCAATGAAGTCTTCCAAGTAACGTTTTTTGACAGGGAACGTTCGACCAGAGATGTCAATGACTGGCGCCTTGTTACCGTTCTTGTCAAGGAAGTATTCCTGGAACAACGTGGGGTCGAAAGTGGCACTCATCAACACTATTTTGAGAGGAACATTCCGCGCCTTCCGATCTTCCAACATACGTCTCAGCACAACAAGCAGTAGATCCGTGTCAACGTCCCGTTCATGCACCTCGTCGACTACGATATGTGTGATTCCGTCCAGCTTCGCCGCGGCAATTCCTCCTTCTGTCATGGCAGACTGGATACGGCGGAGTAGGACGCCGATGGTGCAGAATGTGATGGACCCGTGCTCTTCAGGAAGTTTGGATTGAAAACGAACACTATATCCTATGGATCCGCCGCCCACGGTTTCTCCTCTCTCCTTTGCTACCCGCTCTGCAACACTGAGGGCCGCCAACCGACGGGGTTGTGTGCAAATTATGTTACAATGCGCACCTTCACCACGATCAATGTAGTCATCCAGAATGATTTGCGGAATTTGTGTGGTCTTTCCAGAACCAGTTGCTGCCACGCAAATAGTCACATCATTCTCCTGGACGTGGTCTATAAGCTCCTTGGACCTTGTGAAGACAGGTAAAGCAGTTCTAGTTGACCGCATCTTCTCCACAGAAGGATCACTAAGGTACGCCTCTCTGCGTTTTTTCAGGAGATGAGACCTCTGTCTGGCAATGTGGGGCGGATACTGACGGGGATGTGAGGGATTAGGGATACCGATCATGCTGGCACGCAACGGTGAGGGAGCGGAGCCAGCCAACTTCGCTCTGACGGCGGACTGGTTGTTGTACAGTGCGGTCCTTTTTATCTCCCGGCACAGATCTTCGATTTCGTCACCCAACCCGTTGCTGATTTGAAGGTAAACCTTCGGAGCGAGGCCGAGATCCTTTCCGGACAGGGCGGCCGCGACATATTTTCTCCACAGCTCGGGGTCACAGCTTTCGAGGTAGCGAGTGACGTCTAGATAACACTTGGTAAGTGCAATCTTTTTGGTGCTTGCACTGCCTATGCCAATGCGACGACCCCCGACGATCATAACTACTTCCCAAATGGTACTTTTTCGCTTGCCCGTTTGTTGCTGGTATTCGATGACCGGCTTCCCGAAACTGTATATTCGGCAGTAGTAGTCCATGAAACTCCGAGCACGTTCATAGTTCACGACTGAGCCGTCCGACAACTGTATCTGATCCGGTGGAGTGAGTTGGGGGGTAACTGATGCCTTAGACGGCTTGTCAAGCTATGCAGTGATATGATAGCCACTTAAGTTACGATGAAGCAAGGCTGATAGAGAAACCACTCACCAGGCCTTTGTCGTATAGCTGATATAGTGCAGACAAACAGCAGAGCCTCTCTGCAGCTTTCTTTTCTATGTGATCGCCGACGGCAACCATACGCGGCTCGGTTGGGAAATCGAGGGTGCAGCTTCGTAAAGTTCATCAGCTAGTATTACTTACTCCGGGTCGAAAAACGCCTACCGAGTGACTGGCCTGTTAGTGTTGCTGTCGAAATATTCTTTGAAGTCAAATTGCAGCACATAGTCAGGACCCAAATTGGTAGAGACAAAGTTCATGAGAGGAGATTTGGGGTTGTCTGCGAGCGCAGGCTTAATCTCTGGTCGAGATCCTATGCTGATCCTATGCTGCTTCTCTATGTAGACGGCGTCATGCATGGGGCCATCTAGTTCGGGTAGTGACTTGTTTCGTGACTTGAGAGGAGAGCTGCCCCGTTTTCCCTTCCGCCTGCCTGATTGGCGAGGGCGCTCGGGGCCCCCGGAAGGCAAGTCTTTATGATTGAACGAGCTGGGCGGTATTGCAAAAGGAGGTGAGATCGTGGCTGACTTGCCCGGCTGGTGTCCGGAAGGAGACTGATGTATCCCTAGTTTTGGGGCCTTTGCAAGTCTCTGCTCCCCTAGGCTGGACAGTGGCCGCCGGTGAGTGAGAACGACTTCCTCTGCATTTATATTCTGCTTCAAAGCAGCGACACTGGCATGTCGAGAAAATGGTCTCTTGAGAGAAGATCCCTGAGCAGAAGCATACTTTGAAGAGTCCGCGTGCATGGGAATGCGACACCGGTGCCGTAGAATGCCACGCAGCGACGAGATAGAATGGGGCATAGCCTCTGGCAGCGAAAACAATGGTCAGTGATCTGTGTTCATCTTGACGTACTGGACTCACACCTCCGACTGTCCTCAAAGTAAAGCACGCAGTTCTTCAACTGAACACAGCGAGCTTCGCCGGCATCTTCCGACCAGTGTCTATCTACGGTCGGGGACAATCAAACTTGACTAGTTTGGTCCAAAAAAAACTTGTTCAGGCTAGACCAAACGCTAGGTAGAAACGAATTTTTGTCTGGCACTGGGTATTATACGGGCAAACGACAGGTCTGTAGATAGAATATTTATATGTAATTATTATAGGGTCGCTCAAAGTACGCCTAGCGCGACTACCATAAATAGAAATAAATGTCACACTTTGTCACGCAACCTCGTAGCTACTGCCAATTGGCCACCTAATAGTACTCCCAATGACAGGGCCTAACTGGGTTAAGCCCCATGACGTGTCGTTATTCATAATTAGGCTTGTTTGCACTATTTCCCCGATACCAGCAATAAATACTGCCCTGAATACTCGCCAGTACTTGTACCCTGTATGCAGAAAAAAACACACTGGGCTACGGTGGGCATCGCGGCAGACCGGGATGGCTAGATGCAGATTTGGAGACGGGACAGGGTTGATAGCTCAAGTATGAAAGGTTTGGCACGCTGGGACACCTTGCAGGTAATCCAGGGTGGTGGTGGTATACGCATTGGGAAGGAAACGAGGTCACGTTGATTTGGAAAATGCCTTTCCTGTTGCATTTTTCAAAGATGGTCCGTCAGAAATATGGTTGTCAAGGGGAGGTCGTTGGAGGTCGATATGGGTAGAAAGTTGGGGATGTTGCCGGGCTGCTGCTACCCCACCTCTGAGATAGCGAACGCCGCCTGGGCCGAGAAGAGATGAAAAGGAGGGGAAGGAGTGCCCATGTGGTGAGCTGTGAATTATGCTTTTCCGATTCGTCAGTTTCGTCGTCATGTATGATGACCATGTCGCCGGCCCAGTAGTCTATTGCAGAGTGTGTCCCACAGTTGTTTGTCGTCTGCCGAAGTGGAAGCCACTACTGCCACCAGGCTTTCTGTAATGTTTGAGTATGAGAGATGGAATGGCGATGTCAACGCTGCCAGTGATATGATGGGCTAGGTATACGGCGTAGGGACGTGTATCGACGAGAATGGAATGCTTTGAGACTGATAGACTAAGACGATCAGCGAGGACGGCGGGGTCCCATGCAGCAGCAGCCAACATGGAAGAGCTGTCCCACTGAGGGGAGGAGAGTGGGACAGCTCTTCGCTGCTTGAAAAGGCAGAGTCCGAGGCAGAGGAGAGGGAAGCACAGCGCTGCTGCTGGGCTGGCTAGGCTGGGGTGTGGTACGCGCTCGACGTTGTGCTGGACGAGCTGGGCAGCCGGTGCTTTTGTTGTTTTGCCAGACGAATACGAGTCTCACTCGGCAGCGAGCTGAACGATCGGATTGGCCGCAGACGGAGATTCCACCGGACAGTCGTGCCTGGTCTTGCATGGATTCGACCGCATACGATACGTCCCAGTGAGTTCCGCTGCCCTCTGTCTCTCTCTTGAATCTCGGGCGGCTGGTATCTCAGATCTTGAAATCTTTTGTCCACGTCAAAATATTGAAATTTTCCAGGTATAACAAAGTATCCAGTTTGGGTGGACAAATTAATGCAAAGCATGTAAATACTTTTCATCGTCACGAGGTGCTATCGCTATCAGTGAGCATCGGTTGAGATCAGAAACGCCTCCCCACCACCATTCCTTCGAACCAAACGAGAGGGAGATACGCAAAGTCAGTGGACATAGTAGAAACATTGATCGCAAGAACCTCAAAGCAGGTACCATCACTCAACACTTGCCAAATATCAGAGCAACGATGAGGGCCCATGATCGAGACAAATTGTTGCGTGATCTGGCTGAATTGTGTATGTAGTTTCATTGTTTCATTCTGATTTGGTGTGCACATATCTTACTGCACACTCAGGTCCCAGTGAGTAGCAAGTATTGCTAACAGCATTGTGATGCACAGCTAAGAATGCTTGCTTAGGAGCGGCCAAAAACGGAGAAGGTAGCTGGGATAGTCAGCTACATGGCCATCAATTTCTAGTGATGTTATACACATGATATGCAGTTGACAACCGACCATTGCCAACTCAGCCACCATACACGGCCTTCTGCGGAAACATATGGGGTGACGACATAAACGAAAGTGGGCTAGCAGCGATTTTCAGTGACCTTAAGGTGAGTGAAAGTACAAGTATTTTGCTGGGAACAGATTGGGATATTGGCACAGGTGAAATCTGTCAAGGTTATGAGGGATAAGGATCACAAATCCAGGGGGTTTGGTTTTGTTGAGTTCGAAGACAGAGTGTCATTGAAGGCTGCCTTGCAGCGAACCTGGCAGGTGAGTGACATGAATGGTGAGACAAGTATGGCATAGCTGAAATTGCACCTCAGCACAGCTTAGGTGGCCGACTTGTTCGAGTGAAGATTGCAGACCCTCGTAAGTGACCTAGGGCTTTTCCTTCCTGGTCAAGAACTTATGTCTGTTTATGAAATTTCCCCCTTAGCAAAGGAACGGCCCACTATTTAATAGGTTTTTTAGTGACAGAAGTTTCAGATCTGAGAAATGATATTATTCCCAAGCTTTGATGAAGATACACATTTTGACACAGATGGGTAGTCTTGTAATTGTGGTTGGAAAGGGAGGGCAGGAGAACATGTGTTACACTTTGAGTGTGGGGGACTGAAATATGTATGTAATGGAGTTGTAAAGTTTTGTGTACTTATCCATTCCTGGCACTTATCCCCAGTGAAAACCTACAAGATGCCCCTCGGTGTCCTTTGACTTTCCTCAACATACGAAGGGTGGGAAATATGATACACTTTTACAAACATGCTCCTAGATGCCCTATGACATGTACTGCGTAGATTTTCCGTTTTCATTATATCTTTACATGCATTGCAACATGAATGATCCTGCAAAGCTTGCAAAGGCCATGAAGCATGCAAAGCAGGATTGTTTCATATGCTTTGCAGCCTTTGCTTGCCTAGTACACCTGTCTGCTACCACTTCCAATACCATGGTACATGTGCAGTGATCCTGCTGTATGACAACCACAGAGCTGTGCCATATCTTTCCAAAATCCAGATGACAATGTGCAACTTTCCCAACCACTTGACAGTGATGAGGAGGTTTTCTGGGATCTCCATTCAAATGTCAAACTCAGTAATCTCTGCATTGCACTCAGCTACATTCTGGCAATGTGAACACCATCCCTTGATACTTGTGGTCTCAGCCAAGATGCCCTTGATCAACTCTGCAATCCCCCCAAGGAGCCAGCAATCTTTTGTAATGATGAGGTTCTCAGATCTGCAATCAAGCTGTATGTCAGCCCCAATCACACAGATGGCAACTATGAAACAGTGCAAAAGGTCTTCCAGGAAGTTCCAGGGTTCAATGAGTTCCCCAGCTTACACCAAATCAAATGGATCACTGCTGAGCTTAGTGGGGTTGAGGCTGTCATCTATGATATGTGTGCAAATTCCTGTGTGGAATTTACTGTTGGAGATATTTGGGGATGTCCAGAGATTAATGCTGGCAAGTCTATCTTGTACCTGTGCACATTGCCTCTACATTTCATTCTCTAATTTTTACCAGTCTGGATACTTGCAACACTGGTCATACATAGCCACTGTAAAGTATAAAAGTCACCCACTCATAACTGGGCACCTCAGTCATTGTATCCCTGAGACTGAGGTGAGCCCACTACCCACCTTTGCTACCACTGCACTCATTTACTGTAGATGCTTGTTTGCTTATAGGTGCTCCTAATCTGAGTCATTGTATCCCTGAGACTGAGTTGCTTGTTTGCTTATAGCTGTTTTTTGTCACTCCCTGTTACAGGTTATGAGCCTTTCTGTTGCTACTGCCACTACCTCATCAGGCATATACAGTGGCTCAAAAAACTGTCTGCATGTTTGCATGTTTTACACTAGTTATGACTAAATACAATAACCCCTAACCCTAGCCCTAAACCATGAGTGTATGAAATAAAGTACTTACTCTTGGCTTTCTATGGGTCCAAGAATTAAGTGACTTGGATAGGATTTGATAGAATAGCAACCATTTGAATATGACATGTCATGCAGACAGTTTTTAAAAATCCAACTATCTAGTACTTGGTATGAGCTCCTTTGGCCTTGATAACTGCTTCAACCCTTCTAGGCATGCTTTCTATCCATTTTTGACACTCTTCCACAGAAATCTTCCCCCACTCCACTACCACCCTTTCCCATAATTGATGAACTCCTGTAGGAGCACTCTCATAACCTGAGAGAGATCTTTTGAGGTGATTTCAAGTGTGTTCAATTGGGTTGAGGTCTGGAGATTGTGCAGGCCAGTCTAGAAGCTTGATATCCTGCTCTTCAAACCATTTCTGGGCTCTTCTAGAGGTATACTTGGGGTCATTATCTTGTTGAAAGATAATGTCATCTTCTGGAATTCCAGATTCCTCCATGCTTTGAAGCAACCCTTCCTGCAAAATGGCCACATACTGTTCAGCATCCATCCTTGTCTCAACCTCACTCAAGACCCCAACACCATTCCACCCTATACATCCCCAAACTATGAGTGAACCTCCTCCAAACTTGACTGTACCTTTGACCTCTCTGGAAATAAGCCCTTCACCCTTCTTTTTCCACACATACTCTTGTCCATCTGACCCAATCCTGTTGATTTTGGTCTCATCTGACCATATAACTCTCTTCCAGTCCTCCACAGTCCAATGCTGATAGTTAAGAGCAAAGGCTAACCTCTTCTTCTTGTGACCAGTAGAAAGCAATGGCTTTTTCTTCTTCTCCACAGCCTTCAATGAGGCTTCTTTGAGGGTATTTCTCACTGTATGAGAAGAAACAGGACTATCAACAATAGTGTTGATGAAATGAGTGGTTTGAACAGCATTTTTGGCATTGCCAGTAAGGATTTGCTGGACAATAGCTCTCTTGTTGGTAGAGGAAAGCTTGGAAGGGTGACCACCATGAAGCCTAGACCTCTCTGGTTGGATTTCCTGAAGAACCTGGGATACTGTAGACTTCCCTAGACCAGTCCATGAGGCAATCTTCCTAGTGGATAGGCCAAGAGAGGCAAGAGAGATGGTGTTTTGTCTTTGAGAGGTGGAAATGGACTTCATGGTGATGATGAGAAAATGAGCAGAGGGTGGTGGGGTTTATATATGTTAGATCATACTCATTACATAAAGGTAACATAATAGAACCCTTGATGGATGTATGTAACAATATAACAGCATGCCAGGGTTAATATATATAATCAAAACTTTAAGTCAAAAAACTGTCCACATGACATGTCATTTTCAAATGGCTGCTATTCTATCAATTCCTATCCAAATCACTTGACTCATGGACCAATAGAAAGCCAAGAGTAAGTACCTTATTTCATACACTCATGGTTTAGGGCTATGGTTAGGGGTTATTGCATTCAGTCATAACTAATGTAAGACATACAAACATGTGGACAGTTTTTTGAGCCACTGTATGTTTGAAATGAGTGATGAAATCCTCAGCTGATGCAAAGCAGGATTTCAGGACTAGCTTGTGGATGCAAGTGAGGTCTTCTGGACTTTTCTGGAGCTGGCAAGCACAATGGGCAATGAGATCAGTGGTCAAATAGAATTCTGCCTCAAAAGGGGCCAAGAACATTGCCTCAACCAGATCAAAAGGGAGTCTGGGTTTGACACTGTGAGCCATATATGTAGAACATGGAAAACCTGGTTGCCTTATGAACTGTAACCCTCTCTGCCCAAAATACTGCAGGGGTGACTTCTGACCACTTTGATGCCTCTCCACCACAACTCTTTACCAGTGCCTCTCTCACATCAAAATGCCACTGTTTGACAACTCCATTAGCCTGCAAGTTATAAGGGGAGATGTGTATGTGATGAATTCCAAAGGTCTTGGAGAGCCAGTCAAGAGCAAGGATGCATGGTATCCCATTATCAGTAACAATCTCTGCAACAGCACCCCAACAGCACAAAATCTGTTTGAAGATGAATTTTCCAATGGACTTGCCTGTTTCTGCATGAAGCATAGCCAATTCAGGGTAACTGGTGAGTGAACAACAAGCTTGGGTGATGTAGCAAAAGCCATTTGACTTTGGCATTAAGAACATGTCCATGTATGCCTTGTAGAATAGGGGTTTGGGAATGGCAACAACTGGCAGAATATGTATGTGATCCAGATGGCAGATCTGGCACTCATGGCATGATTTAACATACCAGCACATGTCCTGCTCTAGCATGGGCCACCAAAAGCAAGTCAGCAAATGCATGCAGGTTGAGAAGATACCCTTGTGCCCCAGCTCATCATGAGCCTAGTGGAGAATTCCAAGGCATTTGTGTTGGGGTACCACTAGCTGATGCTGCCCTTGGGGCTCCTTCCTCCACAGTTCCCCTCCTTTCATGAAATACCAAGTTGCAAGATGCACTAGGCTTTCCAACTCCCCCTCTTCCAACCCTTCTGGCATTTTCTTTGTCTCCAAAAACTCCTTCACCACTCTCAACCTCTCCTCTCTTTGCTGCACCTTTTCTGACCTTGGGATTTCAGTCTTGAGGTTTTCCAGCATCAATTCTTCACACATGATTCAGTCACTTGTAGTCCTAAAAGTGGGTCATCTGACATGTACATTTCATCCTGAAACTGGGACTAACCGACATCGGCCAGTGGTCCCTAGGGTTGGGTAGGCTGGACTGTGAAGGTGGGGTTGGCCTATGTCATAGGATGATGGATCAACTTCCCTGGAAGTGGGGTCGGCTGACATGACTATAGGATGGATTGATGACCTGGAAGTGAGGTTGGCTGATGCAGCTATGGGATGAATTAGTGTCCTGGAAGTGGGGTCGGCTGACACAGCTATGGGATGAATTAGTGTCCTAGAAGTGGGGTCGGCCGACACAGCTATGAGATAGATTAGTGTCCTAGAAGTGGGGTCAGCTGATGCAGCTATGGGATAGGTTAGTGTCCTGGAAGTGGGGTCGGCCGACACAGCTATGGGATGAATTAGTGCCCTAGAAGTGGGGTCAGCTGATGCAGCTATGGGATAGGTTAGTGTCCTGGAAGTGGGGTCAGCCGACACAGCTATGGGATGAATTAGTGTCCTAGAAGTGGGGTCAGCCGATGCAGCTATGGGATAGGTTAGTGTCCTGGAAGTGGGGTCAGCTGACACAGCTATGGGATGAATTAGTGCCCTAGAAGTGGGGTCAGCCGACACAGCTATGAGATAGATTAGTGTCCTAGAAGTGGGGTCGGCCGACACAGCTATGAGATAGATTAGTGTCCTAGAAGTGGGGTCGGCTGATGCAGCTATGGGATAGGTTAGTGTCCTGGAAGTGGGGTCGGCTGACACAGCTATGGGATGAATTAGTGTCCTAGAAGTGGGGTTGGCCGATGCAGCTATGGGATAGGTTAGTGTCCTGGAAGTGGGGTCAGCTGACACAGCTATGGGATAGATTAGTGTCCTAGAAGTGGGGTTGGCCGACCCAGCTATGTGATGAATTAGTGACCTAGAAGTGGGGTCAGCCAACACAGCTATGGGATAGATTAGTGACCTGGAAGTGGGGTTGGCCAACACAGCTATGGGATGAATTAGTGACCTGGAAGTGGTGTCAGCTGACACAGCTATGGGATAGGTTAGTGACCTGGAAGTGGGGTTGGCCAAACCAGCTATGGGATAGATTAGTGACCTGGAAGTGGGGCCAGCTGACATGGCTGGGGGAAGGGATGATGTCCTGGCAGTGGGGTCAGCTGATGTGGCTGGGGGGAATGAACCATGACCTGGAGTTGTGGTTGGGCAGACACTTTGCAAGAAAGACCAATATCTTGCTAGTGGGTTAGTGGGGCTGGCCAATCTTATTACTCAGTACACTACTTCCTTGGTAGTTAGCTGGCTGAACCCACATGGTTGTGGAAAAATCCTATATCCTATCCTTATCCTGTGGTATTGAAGTTAACTCTACCAATCTGGCCATTGTATTGGAATTAACATTGGGCAAATTTACTCAGTTGTGTATCAGTACTTAAGGAGGAATTGTCCTGCAGGAAATTACTTTTTTTTCTGAACATTCAATGTCATATGAAATTTGAAAACACAAAGCAGCTATTTTTGATTGTAGTACATGCATATCATATGTATCAAGGTAGGGTATTTTACAAAGATTCCAACAGCCAGGATGATGTTTGCCCCTTTCCCTGTGTCAGTTTGGTAGCCCCTTTGGACATGCAGATAGTATAGGTTTGGGGAGGCTGAGATGTGCCTTGTGTGTCCTTCCCACAGCCAGGATTCTTGCACTCATAGGAATAAGTCTGCCCTGAACAACCAGCTTCCCACTTCTGAATGCTATAACACTGAGGACACTGGGCAGGCAATTGTTGTCCCCAAGGCCTGATGAACTTGTCAGTCCAGACAAATTTCTCCACCACTACCTTCTCCTGCCACAACATCAGGATGATGTTGGAGTGCCTACCCAACATACCACAGTCATTCAGGGCATACCTGACTGCACTTTGGACATGGAAGCCTTGAACAAGGGTGGAGTCAAGGACACTCATGAGGAAGGGAATGGTGGTGACTAGTTGAAGTCTCTCAGCATCAAAAAGCAACATGGACCTTGGCTTGAAACTGATATGGTGTCAGCCATAACCACCAACATTGAAAGAAAACCTACTGTTGCACAGCTGCCTTCAGTCCTTGGAAGCTCTGCTCCTTCCTTACAGTAGAACCACATACAAAGAAGATGAGGTCTCCACCCTTGACAATGTTGGAGAGGGGTAACAGAAGGCCTTGCAGAAACTGCAACTGGTCAGATGGGAGTGACAGTCAAACAATGGTGACTTACCTCAAAGACCTCTGTGGCTATTGGAACCTTATTCTCCATTCCAGAGAACAGATCCCCCCTGTCTTCATCAGTATGGGTAGTAAGGAAAATGACTACCTTAGCAAAGGTAGTCAGACTTGAAGCTAGCTTTGATGCTGCAGTGTCATAGGCAGCTCTGGACTCCTCAGTGGCAAAGTTGAAGGGCAGTTGTGAGAAGTGGTAGGTGTCTTGTCTGAAATATCCCTGCAACATGGTGTGAAGGATATGCACAGGGGCATGGCCAAGCTCTAGAGACTCAAGGTGGAGGTGGATAATGGCAGTAGAGTTACCAGCCACTTCAGAGGTGGTGGCATGCTCAAACCCCCCAATGACCACAAGAGGGTGTTTCAGGACTGGCTTGCCTGACAAGTAGAAGCCCTGTACTTGGAGTTAGAAGTGATTGGGGTGGCAATATGCACTTACAAAATAGGGCTGAGGACTTTCAAATCTTGTCATTTTCCAATGACAGGAAACACACCTGAAGTTCATCCAGAGTTTGAGTCAATGGAATTAATTCATAAAAGGGAGGTTAACACACCTGAAGGTCACAGGAAGCTGGGTGACCTCTGCAAGGCAATCCTCAGGTACTACAACACACTTGTTACACACTACCCTTCTGCAACCTGCCTGATCACAAGGCCACAATGTCCCTCCATCCCTGCACATCACACAGAACTGCATAGAATATTAGAAAGATGGATGGAATATAAAAAGAGACTTGCCAAGTTCCTCATCCTTCTCTTCTTGGCAACAGGGGCCTTCCTAGCATGGGCCTTGCTTGACTTGGCAGCATGTTTTTCCCTAGCTTTCAGACCAGCAAGAGATACCCTGGGAGCTCTACCCCCAGTGGTCTTCTTAGCTGTCTGCTTGGTCTTCACCATCTGAGTCTATTATGCCAACATTAGTGAGTGGCAGCAACATATGACACAGAAGGGAACAGTAGCATACCTTATTATCTTTACAAGACACAGAAGGTGTAGGGGACAAGCAGTAAGATAACAATAAATGCATTTAGTTTAGTACATATATCATGCAGCAGGGATAGATATCTACATATTTATGGAAAAGAGAAGCCAATGTATGCAACTACACAACACTGGGCACTGGATAAGCAGACCAAAGAGGGTGATATGTAAGTATCATCTGGACACCATGAAGTAGAAGTCCAACAACATACCTTATTGGATGAGACACAGCAAGGGAGATGCAGTGTGGCAGGAGGGAGATATGAATTGATAGTCTACTAGTGTGTTTTGTGAGTGGTACAGGGACACCAGGAACTGGGACAACATACCTTTTGTAGGATGAGACACAGCAAGGGGGTGTTCTGTGAGTGGTAGAGGGATGCCACGACCTGGGACAACATACCTTTTTTTTCTTGATAAGGCACAGCAAGGGGGTGTTCTGTGAGTTGTAGAGGGACACCATGAAGCTGGGACAACACACCTTTTTTGTTGGATGAGCACAGCGAGGGGGTGTTCTGTGGGTGTTTTGTGAGTTGTAGAGGGATGCTGCATGAGCTGGGATGATGTACCTATTTTTTGGATGAGGCACAGCGAAGGGGTGTTCTGTGAGTTGTAGAGGGATGCTGCGAAGCTGGGATGACATACCTTTTTTTTTGGATGAGCATGGCAAGGGGGTGTTCTGTGAGTGGTAGAGGGATGCCACAAAGCTGGGATGACATACCTTTTTTTTGGATGAGCATGGTGAGGGGGTGTTCTGTGAGTTGTAGAGGGATGCCGCGAAGCTGGGACAACACACCTTTTTTTTTGGATGAGCACAGCAAGGGGGTGGTCTGTGGGTGTTTTGTGAGTTGTAGAGGGATGCTGTGCGAGCTGGGACGATGTACCTTTTTTTTGGATGAGGCACGGTGAGGGGGTGTTCTGTGAGTTGTAGAGGGATGCTGCGAAGCTGGGACGACATACCGTTTTTTTTTGGATGAGCATGGTGAGGGGGTGTTCTGTGAGTGGTAGAGGGACGCTGTGACCTGGGATGACTTACCTTTTGTTTTTTGATAAGGCACAGCGAGGGGGTGTTCTGTGGGTGTTTTGTGAGTGGTAGAGGGATGCTGCGAGCTGGGATGACGTACCTTTTTTTGGATGAGGCATGGCAAGGAGGTGTTCTGTGAGTGGTAGAGGGACGCTGTGACCTGGGACAACTTACCTTTTTTTTGGATAAGGCATGGCGAGGGGGTGTTCTGTGAGTTGTAGAGGG